TGCAAACTCATCAAAACAGCGCGAGAAGGGATGACGGTGAATTTATATACGAGAAATATAGTGTTCAGTCGTCTTAGCCAATCAAGTGCAAATCCAAATCGTGTGGAATGTGGTTCACGTGTTTTTTACCGCGCTTTTTCTGGTTTCACGTTTTCGATTGGATGTTACGCAATAGTAAAGCTATCGTCTTTTCAATGGTAGAATAATGATCAACCTTCCTGGTTTTAAATGTTTTGTGGAAAAGAAAAGAATGATTAACTTTGAAAAGAGAGACAATTCTATGCTCTCATGGCCTACTAAGTTTATGGAAGCAAATTTTAAATGTAGTTTATAGGCTTCGTTGTTCACTATTATCCTTCACAAGTGGGAAAAAAATCTTAAAATAACAATTTGACAATGTTCATGCTCGTTTCTAGGCTTAATGATCTCCGGTTTGGCGCGTGCGGCCCAAGTTCTGGGTGAAGATGTGTACGAGAAAAGAGCAGCAAAAGCAGCGGAGTTCGTGAAGAAACATTTGTTCGATAAGAAATCCGGGAAGCTCTTACGGAGTTGCTATCGAGGCGAGGGCGGCGAGGTTATGCAGATGTAAGTAACGACGTTCCCTACGTAATTGGCAGACTACGAGCAGTCCCTCATCTTCGACGAAGTCCGTCGCGCGAGTCAAGAAACAGAAAAAAAAAACGGCAAAAAAAATTTACGTTGTGCGCCCCTTTCTCCGCAGCGCGCTAAAATCAATTTTTTTTTTTACTCGCGCGACGGACTTCGCTTAAAAGGAAACAATGCTCGTAGGCTATGCATTTAGAGGATAATTCAATCTTGTTATTCCTCTTTTTAGAGATACACCAATTGACGGGTTTGCAGACGACTATGTGTTCATGATTCGCGGATTATTAGACTTGTATGAGGCTTCTTTGGACGAGCAGTGGTTAGAATGGGCCGTTGCGTTACAAGCCAAATTAGACGAACTGTTTTGGGACAGTGCAGGAGCTGGGTACTACATGGCGACCTCTGATGATCCTTCTATTCTTGTTAGGATGAAGGAAGGTTTGAAGGATCTCATTAGTAATTCTTCTTTCTATCTGCCGTACAATTCTTGTAATATTAGTTCGGAGAACTTGCTATTGGATCAACTTATAATCCGCTAATTGATGTTTTTCGGTATTTTCCTCACTTGTCTGCTTACTATTTGTATTAACAGTTGTGAGGAGAAATTCTGTCTCGGTCACTCGTGGGAGTTGTGGACTAAAGAAAATGTAGTGTGACAAAGTTTATTTTCAAACGTATTTGGCAGCCTCTGCCTCCTTCCAATTGTGTTCTTCAATCCCAGAAACAAGGAAACACCGACTCATATTTTTGTATGACGAAGTGACTTAAGTTTTTTTTCGTGTTTGTTAGGGGCGAGTGGTAGGGGTATCGGAAGTTACTAGTGTCTACAGGCCTCTTCATCGGAGCCCGGGATCCAGGCTATTCCGGTTAGGGGGACGAATTTTGTAATCTGATCGAGTGAGCAATTCCAGATCGGAACAAAATTTTTACATGGGATATTTTCCAGCCTGGTTATCAACATCCTGGTCACAAGCTCCCAGATCATAATAACCAGGCCTTTGTTAGCCCGTCATCTGATATGCTCATCTTCACTAAAACTTTAGCAACGAAGAGAGATGAGTTGTTGGAAACTAAGAGGAGGTCCCCGGATTCGAGGGATATGTTGTGTGGAACGATGTTTCTTTTACCCCTCAACTCAAATATTCCTTTACTTTTTCAGCTCAAGATGGCGCGGAGCCTAGTGCTAACTCCACGTCTGTTGGTAACTTGATTCGATTGTCCAGCTTTGTAGATCAGAAGTCTTACATAACCAGGGCAGAGGAAATCATAAAGGCTTCCGTAACCCTCCTTTCCAAGATTCCTCTCGCTCTCCCTGAACTAGTGTCAAATTACATCATGTATCTTCAACCTAGAAAACAGGTAAACATTTTAGTTAAGTTCTTGTGTGTCCCGCAGTCCCTTAGGGAAAACAAGCAAATGACTTGAAGCGTGGGAAAACGCAAGTGACCAGGTCGCAGTTGTTTTTGGTTTTGCATCTGATTGGTTGAGACGATCGTGTGAGTTTTCTGAACCAATCACAGGGCAAAGTTAGGTAAAACCAAAGCCGTCTCGGATCACGATATACACTCAGATGAAAATTGCTCCAATGACTAGTTCAGTTACATGACCTCTTGCCACATCTCAAAGTAAATTTTTTTTTCAGATTATTATTGCGGGCGATCGAGACTCACAAGACACTAAGGATCTCCTAAAGTGCGTCCACTCCCATTACATGCCAAACAAAGTCCTCATGCTATGTGATGGTAAACAAGACGGGTTCCTGGCATCCAAGCTCTCTGTGTTCAAGACATTGGAACGGAAGGATGGCAAAGCCACAGCTTACGTGTGCGAGAATTACACTTGCTCGCTTCCCGTGAACTCTGTCGAGGAATTAGAAAAGATTCTCTCTAAATAAGTGTTGCAGTGTGGTTCCCACCGTGTTACAGTTCTCGTTCAATAACGTCGGAGCTTATCAACTTTCCTTACAACTAAACACCATTTTCGAAAAGATAGGCTTAGACCGCAGGACTAGCGAAAAGTTTTGTGTTTTTGGTCGAGCGTGGGCAGGTGCGAGGCGCACGCGAAGGGTAAATCACACGCGAGAAGAAGCGCGGAAACACGACTTCTTGTTGGTTAAATGGTGTAAATGGTGGTTAAAAGCATAACGTTATGCGTTAAGGTGGCATTCTGCTGATCACAGGATATTTGAAGAAAAGAAACCTTTGTAGCGTAAACGGATTTTTAAAGGAGCATATCATTATTGTAGTACTGCATGATAAGTTTTAACGCCAAAATGTTGGATTTTTTCACTCGTAGAATAACCGCCTAGTGAATCCAGAAGTGTTTGTGGAAACAGTCAACCAAATCTTTTATGGTCTCCATTTGTCTGTCAGAGTCGATTATTAGATGTTATTAAAGCTATTCTGTACTTTTTGAGTGCGCTGAAAGGTAGATCGAAAGGCCTGGGTTCGATCCCTCTGGGTCACTCTCTCATACCCAAATTCTACCGCGTAGTGCTACAACCGCTTTGCCGTGGCAGGTCTAGGTACTAGACTACAAGACTTTAAAATTACTCTCGCAGTGCAAACTGTCGGGAAACCTGACTAAAAGCCATGGGGGAGGGGAGGAAGGAAACCCCTCAATGTAGGGGTAATTTATCCATTGGAAAGCAGCAGCCAATGTAGCCGCCTTCTTTTTTCAAGGTGGCCAGAGATAGTTTTCTAAGACGCCTACCGGCTATGTCAAAAGCGCCCCAAAATCAACTTTCGTAGTCGAACGAATTTCACACATTTGTTTACCAAAGGATCGAAGCTTGAAGTAGTGGACATGGCATGACGATCGCTATTTTTATATTAATACCATGGGGAAACCCATCAAACAGTTTTTAAGGGACGGTCTCGAAGGTTCCTCGATAGATTTTCTTACAATTTCAGGATTTTCTCTTCTCGCACTATATTAATTTTCAACATATTAAATCGAGCCGTTTTGAAATTATGATACCACTAAGTTTACAGACATGATAATGTCTACGGAATGAGCTCTAAATTAAGTTATATCCGACAAATAATCTTTATTTTTCTTTGGACACATTTTCAATATGTTTTTGCCATTACGCTAAGTTTGAAACTATTTCGTTGAGTCGAGGAGAAACTACTGCGTCACGAATTAAGATTATTTTCAATTCTAATATTTACTGGGCTCTAATTTGGGTCTAGGTCCGCTTATCATGGAAAAGCCTCTTTATAATTTTTCTAAAAACACCGTATGTGAAATTCGACATATGTGCAACAATTTAGATTCGTTGTTCTTGACATTGAGATAATGTTATTCTGGTAAAGAGGCCGTGAAATGTCATCCCTTTACTCTCATGGGTTGTTTGTTACACCCGTGGTATGAAGTTGAAAGCTATTGTCTTTTTTGTTTGTTCTATAATCAATGCCGTTCGCTCTCATTCGAATAATTTTTCATGCATTAGCGTTACCATTCGTTCAATTTTCACTTGGGTTATTCAAATCGTAGGCGGCATTTTTAGTTGAATAAAAGGAAAGGGCAAACGGTCTGTCATATTCGTACCTTCAGCTGAACAGAAAACTGAGGTAAGAAATTAAGGTGCCATGTTTTCTGTGACTCCAGCTCAACCCCTTGACCCGCCAGCTTAAAAGAAACGGAATATGCCTCTGCAGGAAGCTAGGAAAATGATGGCAGCAAAAATAACCCCAGCTAATTGCTTCATAAACTATTGAAACCACAGTCTGCGCCGGTTAGGATATCAGTAAAAGGAGACGAACGAATGATTAGACGGAAGGATATCGGCGAGGTTTTTTACCGGGTTGCACTGGTTTTCGCTCCTAAATTGAATCCTACCTAAATTGACGTTTGATTCTTGTAGATTTAGAGTCTCGTGGGCGGAACAGAGGGGAGGTTGGCATAAAGTACTGATAATTTATTTGTATTTTCCAGATGGATGAAAGTGAGGAATTGGGTAGAGGTGGTCTTAGGCTGGTAGAAGAAGCGTTGGTTTTTATTTTCATCTGCTTTTTTGAACTATTGCCAAATTTCAGTGTCTTACAGTAACGCAGGTGTTACCTCCCAGAGTGACTTCTTGTGGCGTGATTAGTGTGTGTTTAGGGAAAAACTGACAGGCGTTTTACAGCCGCGGATTGGTAGCCTGGGAACAAGCTATAGAGTAACGAGCTCATTCTTGTCGAGTACGTCGAAAATAAAATAATAAAAAAGCGACGAAAGAGTAAATATATCCGTATTTAATACTCACTTTAGAATGGAGTTTTTGAAGAAAATAGTGCTATTTCCGCTAGGCGCAATGTCGTGTTTTTCTCAACTTCGTTTTCTCGGAATGGAAAACACACGTTAGCGCATGACATGTAGGTGGTGTGCTCATGCGCTTTGTCAAGAATTATCCCATAGTACTTTTTATGGCGAGGTGAAAAGCATCATTTTGCCAAGTTATCCCTTACAGTTCGTGAATTAATTTCCCCCACTTTTCTCAATCATTGCGGAATTTTAACGCTGAATATCCCAGTAGTTATTCCAGCTACGAAATTATGCTTCTTAAGAGCGACGCAGCGAGGTAATGGCGGATAAACGGAAGCTACAAGGTAGGACGAGTTCATGGCTTTCCCTTGATGTTTTTTTGACTTGCAAAGATTTCGTCCCACTTCCTTTTTTCATTTTGCCTGTTTAATCCTAGGTGAAATTGACCGTTGCCTAAAGAAAGTACAAGAAGGTGTAGAGACATTTGAAGATATCTGGCAAAAGGTAATTGGAAGAGTTATAAGTCAAACCGTGAAGTTCGAACAGGCCATGATTGAGATGCTATTCTCAGCACGTTAGGCTCACACTTGGACAGTTTGGATGATAATAATAGGTGACGTATTCTTTTAGGTTCACAGTGCGTCAAACGCGAATCAAAAAGAAAAATATGAAGCAGACCTCAAGAAGGAGATCAAGAAACTACAGGTTTGGCAAAGAGTTCATTTATGTTCGTTTTGTCGTTTGTCATTACACCGTACAACCCTCGCATCATTCCCAGTTCAGTTTGCCGCCAGTTTGAAATTTAAAGTTTGTTGAATATTTTGCAGCGGTTGCGAGACCAGATTAAGACCTGGATGGCGTCTAATGATATCAAAGACAAGAGAACTCTCCAGGAAAACAGAAAACTTATCGAGACGGTAATGTATAGAGTTTGTTTTCTTCAAAATGGCGTCCAAGAGTAGCGCCATTTTTAATTATGGTATAGTTAAATTAAGACTGCTATACATTGGCGGCAATTAACTTAGTGTTTTCCAAACATTGATTAGTTATCTTATAATTAACTTACAACCTTTCTCGAGGGATTCTTGAGAACTTAAAGGTTGAAGTAATTTGTTATTAAACATTGTCTCTTTCTCTTAGCAAATGGAAAGATTCAAGGTTGTTGAGAGAGAGACTAAAACCAAGGCCTATTCTAAAGAAGGTATGTATTTTATCAAATTGAACCAGAGCATTATATTGTAAAAGAGAATTATTTTCAAATGTCCTTCAGGAAGGGGTTTTGTGCAGAACCTAATTATATACTCTGTCTCCTTGAAAAAGCACCCACGCTCTAATAAGCATCCTTCCTCAAATAACGCCCACCTCCTGGGCAATATTGTTAATCAAGTGCCCCTCCCAAATAAGCACCCCCCTTTTCCTTCCTCACTTCCTTAATATTAGGAATACAAGGAAAACCTATTTCTAGGGCCACTTTATTTATAACTTTTTAAGCTAACCACAGTTGAATCAGTAGAGGATAATAATAAGCATCTCCCTTGAATAACCACCATTGAACATGCTGAAATTTTAAATAAGCATTTGGACACTTAATCAAGGGAATACTTTAATCTAAGTAATAATTTTGGTGTTAACAGGACTTGGACTTGCTGCAAAGATAGACCCTGCAACCAAAGAGAGAGAGGAGGCCAGTATTTGGATTACAGTAAGTATAGTTTCTAGAATCACCATAGGCTGAGGATTTAACCAAATCTAACAAGAGTTTTGATGACTACTGTATCCTCAGATTGCATTTCTGATAAGCCAGAAGTGAAACCATTCTTTCTTGTGATCTGTCTGGGAAGTTTGCCCAATAACTATGTGTAATCAGAAATTTGAATGATTGTCTCTTTTTTTGAGTTAATGGTGAATTTGCCTGTCACAAGCCATGTTATTTGAATATTGCTACTTCTAAGATTATCCCAGAAAGCTGACCACATGAATCAGCAAAGTAAGCCAGTTTTATTTCTATTTTGGAGCAGAAGGGAAATATTAAAGTTCCCTGATTGCTTTTCTCATTGCAGGAAGTCCTAGAAAGGCTACAAATAGAGGTGAGTTTACCCAAGCACATTAAAAGAAATGAAATGTCTGTAATGGTTGATGCATGGCCTCATGTTTACATTGGTTTTGGTTGTGGTTCACAAATATGTACCTTCTTTTGAATGTATGAATTGAATGTAGAAGATTTTAAATAGGTCTTCTTAGAGATTGGTCATTTTTTTTTTCTTTTTATTCCAGGTGGATCAAATTGAGTCAGAAATTGAACAAGTTTATGCAGGATCACGCAAGAAGAAACTTGATAGAGATGTAAGAGTTGTGTTCACATGTAAACACTTACATACTAGTTGAGCAATGATGATAGTAAACTAAAAATTTATCAAATTTGTTGAAGAAACTAAATGCTAAATAGGGAAATGATGTTTGTTCTTTTTGTGTTGGGTAGCTTTTGGCTGGTGTAGTTTAGTAAATAAACCCATAAACAGGATTTGCACAGGTTCTAAAAATAAGACAGGCCTGGAATTTGGTAAATAATTTTCCTAGACTGGAAAGTTCGGGATGAGGACTTCTGGTATTAGAAAGTCTTTGCAATTTGGAATCCAGTATCAATTGAAACTGTTGGTATTTCTTTATTGGCATCTTTGCCATCTTTAATTTGTAAGAAGAAACTTGGTTGCCCCTGAAAGTTAAGGACTGCTATGTATATTTGAAGTCCTGAAAAAGTCCTGGAAAATTGTCTCTTGAAAGTGTACAAACCCTAATAAATTGGCTTGCTTTTCCTATTACACAGAGACAAGATAAGGTGGATGAATTGCAAGAATGGGCTGGTAGACATCGGCACCACAACCAACAATGGGAGGTGTGATTAGAATATGAGTTGCCTTTGGTGTTGGTGATTATAATGGTTAAAAAATAAAAAAGAAATAGAAGCATGTTTGATGGAAAAGAAAACCATTCATTCGTTCATTCATTCATTCGTTGAGTCATAGTTTGCCTGGGAAATTCAATTACTTGTTGTTTTGACATTCCTTGTTAGCATGTACTATAGATAGTTTAATTAAACACAGGTTTGAACTGCTTGTCATCAGTAGCTGACACTCTGTTGTGCACTTGATAGTTATGGGACATGGTCAATGGAATAATTTTTGACTTTGCTATCAAAGCACTTTGCTTTTTTCACATTGCAATGTCAGTTTGTTTCTTGACTTCTTATTTACTTCAGATGTCATTGCTGGGTCATTTCTGATAATAATTCTTGCTTGTGTGTAATCTTTTTGCAGACAATCCTTAGAATGTTGGACAACTGTACAATACAACCAGATGATGTATGTCTTTTATTTTGTTTGCTTTTTCCTGGGTTTTTATGACTCAGTTAACTAATTTACTTATGTGTAACATATTTACCACTTTGTTGAAAAAACTTGCATTAACTTTTGTTTTGGTATTTGTCTCCATTGTTATAGATTAAGAAGTTACAAGAAGACATGGATTATTATCTAGACTGCTACAAGGTATTCAGCTTGTCTTATTTCATGATTAATTTTGTTGTTTACACAAATTTTGTGGTTTGTTTCGTTTTGGGGGCTTTGGCATCTTTGTGAGCATGTAATCTGTTTTGAAGGAACCTGACTTCCAAGAAAATGAATTCATGTATGATGACTTTGACCTTGAAGAAAACATTGCAGCCTGTAAGTGTTTCTCCTAGTTTCAATCAGTTATGAATCAATTTTTTGAAGTATTAGCAGTATGTACATATTGACTGGGTGAGAGGGCCAGATGGGAAAATATTTATATTTAACCAATTTTGTACTATCATGTATCAAATTTTGGTGATCACTGTTGTAATAACAGGAATATTTTTATACCTCAACTAAGTTAGTATGTATTATTAAATTTTCCTTCATAGTAAACACTTTGGCAACTTCCCCTACTGAAGATGATGACATAATTGTCAATCACAATCATGTTCCAATGTCTCCAAGTTCTACAATACCTCCAAACTCTCCTGGCACCCCAGGCACTCCAGGCACCCCAGGCACACCAACCACAACTGGACCAAACTCAGGCACAGGGACCAAGATAAATCTGGTAACTCTAAACAAAACTTTGCTTTGAAAATTTAAAAGAGGATTCCCTCTTGCTCAATTAAAAAGCACATTAATTGGATTTGAATTTTAAGTTTGTCTTATCTTCTATGATGGTTTTTTCATTAGGCTTATTCATGTACATTACTTAATATTGGAAAATCAAGCAATTGCTGAGTCTTTTGTTAGCTTACAGTTGTGAATAAAACTAACTTTATTTAAAAACTGATATGTACACTGTGCATAATTGTTGCTTAGTGACAGTTTTGTTCTATTATCGTGGTCATATAAGTGAACTGTACGTACTTGTGTGATTGTAGCAGTTTTATCCTCAGGTCATATCAAATGAAAATGATATTTCTTAAGTTTGGAAAGGAGTTGCAACAGATGTCTTCTTTTTTTTCTCCATGGAGAGCTGGGTTCAAATAATAGGATCTTTGTAAATTAAAAAAAAAAAGAAGAGGACCATTTAGTTAAAAATAATTATGATTCTTCTTAGCTTGCATCATTCCTGAGCATGTGGTTATCATGGGATTCTGTCAAAGAAAACAGTTAAACTTCCCCATAGTGTGATGCAATTACATTGGCAGACAGGAATTTTGAAAAACACTGCCAAGTATAAATTTGTGCCTAAACACTGTGCTGGTGTTTTTCAAAATACCTGTATGTTTGCTTAACACAGTTATGTTTATAGTACCTGTTTACAAGTATTATTTTGCTAATCAAAGCTGTGCTCCCTGGAAGATAATGGGGTGCCTCTAGACTCTTGACCAAGGAAGGTGCCCTGTTTTCTTACAAGCTTTTGTTGACACAAGCACCTGTGCTGGATGAAGCACAGCTCTGGCAATAACAAGGAGAGTTGATGATGTAAATGAATTTATTGTTTCCAACAGAGCTCACCAAGGAAAAACTCAAAGAATGATGCTTCACAAGCAAATAGTTTGCCAAACAACTCACCCCCTCGGACATCAGCCTTCAAGATGAACAATTCAAGTCAGCCTGTAGTTACACAGACAACATCAGCAACCACTACTGGTCCAACAATTATAAAAGCTAGTAAGTTTTAATCTACCAATATTTGAACTTGCAGAGTTTATAACATTCTGCAAAGCAATTATCTGTGAATCACTTTACTAAGGAAGACATGATAAAACTTGTGAAATTAACATTATGATAGTAGAACTTTATCAACAAAAGTTTATCAGTTTAATTATTGTTAAATATTGCTTACATTTGTAAAATTAGGTCTACTGCTACTACTTCCACTACTACCCAGACTAAAAGCTATTTTCCTTGAAAAGCTTTTATAGTCATTGTGTGTCAGCTCACTTAAAATGTTTTTTTTTTTTTTTTTGCCTTCTATGATTGTTCAAGTTAGTGCAGTTCTACTAAATTTTCTCATGTGCTGGGTGGTTGTGTTTGTGTTTGTGTTTGTTATTAGATTGTCAGTCTTTGCCCTGTGCTAGATTCATCAAGTCTGATTTTGCTACCAATGTTGTGCAGTTGTGGTTGAACCTCTTGGACTTAATTTTATTTAAATCAAACTTCTCACTAACTGGAAACTCAAAGTAATTTCTTCTAATTACATTACAAAGTCTTTCACTGTCAGATTACCCAGATTTCCAAGTATCATAATCTATTTTACCCAAGCCTTGGCTGCGCAAGTTTACAGGGTTTTACTTGATACTGTTTTACTTTTCTTGTTGACATAAAAGTGTTCCTGGGCTCTGATGTGTAAACTCTACCCATATTTATTGCTTAATCATCTTCATCATCTGACTCTGTATCACTACCAGTTCAAAATTGCTTTAAATGTAAATCCTTGGTTTACTTTTTATTTTTTTCCATCAGGTAATACACCAGCAAAAGTTGTTAAGTAAGTGGTTTTGTTACTACCATGTGCCTTAATGTAAATATTTTCTTCAGTGAAATACTTTATTTGGAGTAGTCAGGTTTCACAATTTAATGCAGATTTCCTTTTACCAATTCATTGTGCACTTGCGATGTATGACAAATGAGAGAGAGAAAATATGTGAAAATTTTTGGCCATGATTTTTGTGGCAAAAACTCCATTGGGGATTAGAAAATGATAATTTATTCATCTATTTACATAGAGTCATTGTGATGTCAGAACTTTTCAAAATTTGTTTTCCCCCCCCCCCCCCCCCCACACTTTTCTTGCACTCTCATGACATGACCAACTGAATAATAATGTTAAATTGATATGTTGTATCTTTGTTCTAGTTCAACAATCCACACAAATGCAGTAGAAAATCATGAGGCCAGTAATGGTGAGGAGCCTGTACAAAAGTCATCTCAACCTAACACACCTCCTCCACCTGTGTCAGGATATGCTGTGGCTGCAGGCGCACAACAGAACCATGTTGAAAGTGCACCTACATCACCTGCAGTTTCAGTAGTACCAACAAGACCAGTGAATCATATTTCATCGGCATCAACGACAGTACCAAGTAGTTTATCATGGACTAGTTCAGCGCCTGGAAATGGCACTGATCTCTCCACACATACTAACCACTTTTCTGGTAATTTCAACAGTACGTTAGAATGCACAGGTGAAAGAGGTTTTGATATGCCTTTTTAAGGCACATTTCTATGTCTTGATTAACTTCTCTGGTATTATCTTAATGATAGTCTGCTAAAAGGCCTTTTAGGTACAAGGAGAGAAAACTAAAGAGGAAGCTTGTCTTCTTCCAATTCCCTTCCATCAGCTCAGGCTGACCTCCCCTCTGCCCATCTTGCTTAATTGCTTTTTTTCCTTTTTTGACTTTTTTTCCTTCACTCTTTCATGCATATATGGATTATATAAATATTTTTTTTGTTTATTGATTTTTATTTTAGAATTTCTTTAATTTTGAAATATGTGGTTGGTTTTTTTCTTTGTCTGCTTAGAGAAAGACATCTTGACTTTTTATGTACACAGGAGTCTTAATCCAGGCTTGAAACACTTGTAGCTTTGAAAGACATAATGCAGAAATGTTTGGATAGAAAACTGTAACAAGTATCATTATTCTCAGAATCAATAGTTCTCTAATTTGGCTTATGCAGCTACTGTGTGTACTTTGGAATGAACTAATTTTACTCTCCTTTATGTCTTAGAGTCAGAAAGTGTTGCATCGAGTGTGGCTGATTTTGTGTCATCAATTGCATCATTGTCCATTACCTCTCCCCCAACGATATCAACAGCAGTACCACCTTCACAATCCAACTCCTTACCTCCATCATCACCTAGTCTTAATTCTGTCCTGGGGATGAAGCCATCAACATCTGCAACACAGGTCCCGGTACAACCAGTGTCCACAAGTATGACTTCATCTCTTCCTCCAACTTCAGTACCGGTTTCTGCTCAAGGGTCAGATTTAAGTGGGTTTAACTTGTCAATGACTGCACCCCTTTCATCAAATTCTGGCCCAGTCTTACCTAACTCTACAGTGTCAATGGGAAGTGAACCCTTAGTATCATCTGCTAATCCACCAGCATCAATTTTAAGTGGTTCTCATCTCATGTCAAACTCAGGACCAACTCAGGTACTGAAAGTTCACGACATTTTACATTCTCTTTAATTTTGTTTTTTAACTTTACCATGGCTGCTGATAAACCATAACACCTATGGCACAAGCTAAAATGTAGGGGCCAATAAGTTTTTCACACAAGTATCAAATTATACAATGAAAATAGATCAATTAGAAATGAGAAAAATACTTGTGATGCTTCACCACTGACTGAAACAACATGAATCCTAAGTGACAACACCAATGCCATCAGTAACTGACAGTAACAGTTGCTTACATTCTCACCAGGTAACAGTGTGGATGTGATGTTAAAACTGTTACTGCATTTGTTAAATTGAAAGAGAAGAGCGCTTTTAAACATGATCGCTATTTTCCTCTTCAATTTGTAGCAGCCTTCAACATCTAATTCATTCTCATCATTGAAGTCCATGGCTGCTCAAGCAGTGGCGACAGCTGGATTGAACAATTCTATCTCGACGCCAACGGACTACAGCACAGAAAGTAGAGGTGACTGTGGGAGGATTGGGTTTGTTGTTGGCACTTGTTATGGTAGTCTGTTCACAGATCTTCTGTTTCTTTTTGATCACTCTTTTTTATCACATGCAAAATGAAAACCGTGGCATAATTACCAAATGCCAATTGTGTGCACTGTTAAAAGGGTTGCAGTTAGTCATTCTGGTGAATGCACTTGTAAAAGAATTAAAATAGTTTGTCTCGTGATCCATGGTCAGTTTTGATGTGGATTATGATGTTTTGACTGCATAATGAAGTCTTGCAGTATTCACGAAGACCAAAAAAAAAAATAGTGGCCATTCACATTGAAAGTGACTACATTGGCAGGCAAATGATTTTGCTTCTGATGCTTACCATATTCTTGTTTATAATGTTATATTACCATTATTTTTATTATTATTATATTTTTACTGTATGTCAGGTCTGTTTGACTCAAGCAGTAGTCAAACAACAGACAAGACCAAAGCATCGCAAGAGACAAATACTGCGCATCTCCAGCCATTACTGGGTGTGGCTCCATTAGGTCCTGTGCCCCTAAACAAGGAGAGGTGTTATCAGCTGGCTATGTTGGAAACTGCATATCACCACCTACCTCTTCCAGCTGATTCGGAGAAAGTCAGGTACAATATATCTTTTATTGAACTTGTGTGCCAGTGCAAGAGGTTAAATTGAAAACCACAGTCATTCTTTCAACTCGAATTAACTGTGCGTCTCCTTCCAATTTGTATGCAAGCTTGCATTCAAATTCAATATTTCACATATGGAGTTTCATTTGACGTGTGAGGTGTTGATCAATTTTGTACTTGGTTTCAATTGTAATTTAATTTAAAAGAGGAAAATTTATTATGTAGAAGGGTAACATTCTACCACAACATGTATGCTGCTTTCATTTATAAAATTAGGAAGGCAGCACTTATCTGTTAAATTTAATCAAACTCTACAGTAAGGATTCTTTCTGTATCAATCAGTGCATCGTTTCATTGAGAGAGTTACCCATTTGCCTAACCCTTCCTTCTCTCCTCATGGAAGAGTTAGAAGGCAAACTGACAAATTATTTGTGGCTACTTGTAATGTTTTATCACCCATCCAGGGGTAGGAGAAGGATCAGTGATACTACTAGTTCTTCTGTGTTACTGATGTAGACCGTCTCTGTGTGAAAATTAACCCTATAAATGATAATATTTCAACTTATCCTTGTACGTCACGTTGTTTTTTTTCTTCTGTAGGCAAATTATTTGAGAGTCAATTTGATTTTCTTCTGTCAACAGACCTTATTTACAGCGCAGCCCTTACCCAACACCAGCGCATCATCATCAACATCCCCCACAACATGTAGACTCGATAGAATTCTTCCAAAGATTGTCCACGGAGACGCTCTTCTTTATTTTTTACTACCAAGAGGTGAGCCTCTGAATTTCAACAGCGTTACACGTGTGTGAATTATTTTATTATTGTCACATTCAGTTAATACTCGAACGTGAGGCTCCCGCGGTCGGATTGGTAATACTCTCTAATACTCTCTTACAGTCCTTTATACATTCCTCTCTAAATAAGTACAGATGGGCTTGTTGTATCTTGATCTTTTATCTTCCAACGTCAGTATATCCCTTACTGTTCTCTGGTGTTTTGATTAAAGCCGGTTACCGCTGGTTTATCGCCGGCCCATAAGTCCTCTCACCACCGTCTGTTTAGGCTGCCAGCTGGCTCCTTTGTTTGGGTTTGGCTTCTCGGCACAGCTCCCTTTTACACCATCGGCAGGTTCTCTATACATTTCCTGTGTGAGAATTAATGTGGTTATCACACCAGGAAGTTGACTGAGGGTTTAACAGTTTTTGGATTCTGAAAATTGCAAGAAAATGTGGTGAGTCTGATGAGAATTTGTTGATGGAATTCTAGGGAACGAGAGCACAGTACTTAGCAGCAAAGGCTTTGAAGAAGCAGTCATGGAGATTTCACACCAAGTACATGATGTGGTTTCAGAGACACGAAGAACCTAAGGCAATCACGGATGAATATGAACAAGTAAGTATATGTGACCAGCGGTCCTTTAATCCAAAGAGAAAAACCAGCTTAGTTTCTGTTCCTTTCTGCCGGCCTACGGATCGAATAACTAATCAACAGAAAGGCATGGTCGGGCGTAGAGAGTGGCAAAATCATAACAGCAAAGGGAATTATAACAAGAAGCTAGCGAGCATTCAAAATAAGCCTGAGTATTTGGCTTTAAGTGTGGGAAACTGTGAGAGATTGGTTATTTTTAGAAGTTTGCACCGGGGTTTTTTAGAGCGGGAAAAAGAGCGGCATAGAGCGGGAAAAAATTAGTTCATTCCCAGATTACTTTCGACACTTCATCGAAAGTTGTGCTAGCCTAGAGGGTCATCTTGGGAATGACTACAAACATTTGTCAATTGTTTCATGAGGTGACTCTAGGGTTTCCGTGCGTGGCAGCTTTATTTTTCGTTCACGGGCGTGGACTCGCGCGTATGGCAAAACTAACTCTTGCACTTGTTCTTTCAGGGCACCTACATCTATTTTGACTACGAAAAATGGGGTCAAAGGAAAAAAGAAGGCTTTACTTTTGAGTATAGATACTTGGAAGACAAAGAACTCCCTTAGAAGTACTTAGGAACGGTTAATAACCAGGCATGGTCTAAATCGCGGGACACTAACAAAGTTCACCCGAGAGCACGAGCAACAAAGGGTCCATGAAGAGCACAAGGCACATGGGCCTAGTGCTAGCAAACAGAACGTGGAAATGAGAGAAATCAAAACGTACATTTTGTATGAAGCGCTTGACTCGTGCATTTTTTTTACCGGCTGTGTCTACGTTGGGTTAGTTTCAAGGGATTGACGCAGCTGATCTTGACAGCTTCGTACGACCTCGTCTGTTTTATGAACACTGGCTTGTTTATAATTGTAAATATGAATGCTAGCTCTAACAATTCCGTTCATTAAAAAATTGAAGCATAATGGTGTGGCATTTTTTGCGTCCCAAAACTTCCTTGATTTTTGCCCAGCTTTGAGAGCTCATCTAGGTTTAAAAAAATATATCTAATATATCATATATATTGATCAGCTCCCAGTTGGCTTGTTAGCTCCGATGGTAGAGCGTTGCACCGGTATCGTAGAGGTCATGGGTTCAAATCCCGACGGGCCTGAATTTTTTTCCATCTCCTATTTTTAGCTACTTGTTCAGTAGTGTTCTTAGCTGCGAGGATCTCTTAAATTCATAGCTACTCTCCTTGAAAAGATGACGGTCCGTGAATCGAAGGCTTCTGCCTTGCCCCAAATGGCAATTTGTTAAGTATCTTCGGTAGTCTTCGAAAGATGGGTCGTGCCGAGGAACGGAAGGCGGCGACTCACTGAAAACAAACCACAGGGTAATGACGTCTACGGAAGAGGGCAACTATCACGAAGTGACATGTTCTCAGGCTTTATTGGAATACGTTCAAGCCTGTTATGAACCATACTAAAGCCCCGTTTCGAGATCCAATTGTTTATGTCTGGAGGGGCTGTGTCCTCGTTCCATTCCCCATGCATTCTCTCATCGTTGCCAAAATCATGCGGAACTGAGCTTAGGGTGTAGTCCCTAATCGGGAATTTTGATCACTATGAGTATACTTGTGATTCACTTGGAACTCTATGGAGGACAGAGGGAAGGGTTGGAAAAAGGATCTAATTTAGGACAAAGCCCAAACCCCATTACAAGGCTACAAATACGACAGACATTAATTGTTTGAAAAAAATTCGTTTCCTTCCTCGATTTATTTACAAAACCTTCGCGCAACTCATGACTCTGTTACCGGTATTTTACATAAATAAATGTCTATCAAAAAAAGAAACCTGTTACTGAACGGAAATACACATCTACTAATAGAATTCTGAATTCTTACTATCTCTGTTTTCTAGACTACGCTCGGCACCCTCCGCTATAGCAAAGGTTTGTTTTTTTTTTTTCTTAACTTACTGGGTCAACGGAAACCGCAGTCTCTAATATGAACAGTAGGATGAGATAGTCCTCAATTAATCATCACTCTGCTTATTTCTTGGCGGCCTTCTTCTTGGGTGTCTTCTTCGTTGGGGTCTTTGCTTTCTTTGCAGCTTTCTTCGCAGCAGGTTTCTTAGCGGCTGGTTTCTTCGGGGATTTTTTAGCGGCCGGTTTTTTCGCAGCTGGTTTTTTCGCAGTCTTCTTTTTGGCAGCAGGCTTCTTTTTAGCTGCTGCTTTTTTGGCGGCTGGTTTCTTGGCTGCCGGCTTCTTTTTGGGTTTGGCTGCCGGTTTCTTGGCTGCAGGCTTCTTCTTCGGTTTAGGTTTAGGCTTCGGCTCAGCGGCTTTGTTGACCTTGAAAGAACCAGATGCTCCTACTCCTTTGGCCTGAATTAGCTTGCCTGCAGCCACAAGTCTCTTGAGATTGAGTTTCACTTGTACGGCAACATTACCTCCTACTTTGTAATGTTCCGATATATATTTCGTGATCTTCTGGCGTGAAGATCCCGTTCGCTCCTTCAACTCTTTAATCGCTGCGATAATCATTTCTTCGTACTTCGGGTGCTCGGCGGGCTTTTTCGGTGCCTTTTTCTTGGGTGCCTTAGCTGCGGCTGCCGGTGCATCGCCCATGGTGACTGATTATATTAATGTAGTAACGAGGTTCCACGGAATAAATCGATCGCGAAACAATCAAACTCACGAACTTTCACTCGGAGTCGCTTGGGGAGAAGTGACGCAGCTACGAACGCGCATCTTATTCATACATCGTGTGCGGACCACTGAGGAAACACACACGAACTGTTGCCATTTCAGACGGCCATTGGCCTAGTTGTGCTTCTTGTCCCAATGTTTCGTCCTATATTGGATAATCTTTTGGAGCGATTTCCAAAGTAATGGTCGTTAACGAAAGTTACTTAGTGTGAGCTCTTAGAGGTGGTAAGTTTCGGTAAATTTATCCAACCACTTATTTGCAGTTTAACTTTTAACGCGAAACTCCATTTTAGTTTAGTTTGACATTTTGTAAAGAAACTCTTGCAGCTTTTGCAATCTGGAAGAAGTTTGAACTTTTTAGTTATTTTATAAAAGTCCAACCATCTATTTTTGCATCTAACTTACAATGAGAGCTGGGGAAGACGTGAAAGTGAGTTTAAAACCTTGTTAAATGCAAGCAACAAACACATCTCGACAAGTGGCTGCGACTCTGTCGTAATTGCTTTCCTCGTAAACATTTTCCCTAAAATCCCAATATTTCTCGTTTTTGTGAGTTTTTTTAGCTAGAATCGAGCTTGAAAGTCAGTAATACTCATTTGGCATAGATTTTAGTGGTTAACTGGTTAATTTAGGCCTCAAAAGTTCACTAGAATGTAGTATTTGGTTGAAGCCGTTGGGGCGATTTGTCTTGTTTGATCCGTAAAATCTATTCAACTTGGCAACTTTCAGTAATTTTGACATTAATTCAGCCTAAAATTATCCCAGGGTAAGTGTTATTTGCCTTATATGACTTTATCCCAATCCTTTGTGTGTAAGAGGTAAATTTTTCGTGTCGTAAAGAGGAAAATTCGACGTAAACTAAGAGTATACCAACAGAACCAGATTTGTGTATAGTTGTGGTTCGAGCTGCTCGATTGTCTTCCTTCTTCTTTACCTTTGAATTACAATCGCTAATATTTCACTTGAAAATGGGTTAATGAAGCTTTTCATCACAGAAAAAATTGGGAATCACTCTCCTCTTGAAAGGGAAGATTTTATTTCTGGATTTCGTTTCTGTTAAGGGAGATTGTTGAGAATTTCATAAGTCACGTTCCGAACAACCGCCGCACCGCCATCTTGTCCATTACAGTTATCGTTACGATGCAAAGATCGTTGTCTTTTTCTAGACTTAAGAGCAAGTTTGTTTGACTTATTTCAATTTTAATTTTACAGGAGGATTTTATTCTTGTTTTCTATCAACAGATCTGTCCATTATGGGGCTAATTTTGCCATTTTAGCGGTGCAACGTATATTCGAAGACAACGCACCTTCGATGAACACAATATCTACTTTCAAAGGGTCAGTCAGCGACAACAGATGAAATTCATTTGTGAGAGTTCTGCTACTTTTCATTAATTTTTTGAACTATGAAATTAAAATCAAGAGTTTTTTTTATTCATTCAGTAGAAATAGAATGCGTTTCGAGAGATAATATACCAGATTTTGTCGAAGGTTTTACGCGTATCATCTTAGCGTCGGGTCATTTATTGGCGCTAAAACGTTCCGAGGCAAGTATTGGTGAATAGAAATTTAGTTTTCGTTCTAGGACTGCTCCTCTTAAGAACGCCATAAGCCCATCTTTTCAGTTAAGGCCTATGAAAACTTGTCGTAAGAAATTTTAGGTAAATATTAAGCCATCAGATAGACTTCAAAATATTTTTTACAATTTTAATTCTTATCGTCGACACACCCTGCGAGCGCTAAGTCGGTTTCCTTACGGAACAATTGTTTACGTGTTGTTTCACAGTTCAGTAATAGAGTTTATACGGTTTACTCGAATCTTTCCTTTATGAAGGATAAATTTTTAAAAAATAGAATGCTACTCTTTCCTGAAATTCAAATATTTTCTCAGTTTTATTTTAAGGAAATTGTTTGATTTTGAATGTTTGAATTTTCACCTTTCGAATTCCCAACCGTACACTAGACGTGTTTTGCATATGTAATGACTTCTTGTACCTTCTATTATATTTAGGATTTCTAAAGATTTATGCGTTCCTGTTTTAAAAATTCGTGAATATTAACTTTTTGAGAGCCTCAAAAATTTTCCATCAAATGGAAATATTTCTATGTTGTCAATTTTAAGTGGCAAAATGTGTTTGTGCGAGAGATGTCAGGCAAACTATTCATGTCTAGCTTGAGTGAATTAATAATGATTTTCAGATAATCAAATGAGCCCTCATCTTCAACATAGATATAATTTATTAGTCATAACTTCTGCATTGCTTTTATTTTTGTCTACCATTTGAAAAAACAAAGGAAATGTTTCTTTAATTTGGAATGCTCAGAAAATTTAAGATATTTATGCTGGAATATTATTTTGACTGTTTTTTTTTATTTTTGTTTTATGGATATTATCTCAATCAAGGAGGGCATTTGTTAAAGATTTCTGCGCTGATCTTTTGCTTTATTTGCTAAAGTAAAAGTCAAGTCAGGAATCTCTAAAAAAAGGAGTTTTAATCCTAGGTATAACATTTTTAAAACAATTTCAACTGAATTTTCCTTCTTGGTAGATCAGTCATTATGACAACAAGATCTCTAGATGAGATAATTTTAACCAAATGACTTGTTCCAAACTTATTATAACCTTACATTCATGCAAATTTTTTAGCAAAAAAGTATTTTGGAGCAATTATTTATAACCATAAATAAATTGACTCTTTACACCCTAACATCGATGAGCATATTCTCCATACTGCTCTCCATAAATTTCTTATGTTACTGAAAAGGAGAATTTTCCTAACATTCAAGCTGCTTCTATCATTGCCAACCATTTTTTTCATGGTCATACTCTTAACCCTTTGAGCTGCAATATCAACATGTATATTCTCATCACTGTTCTCGATTAGTTTCTTATTTTACAGATTGAGAGAATTTGTTCAAACATCAAGACATTTCATCTTTGATAATCATTTCATTCTTGTGATCTGCACATTTGATCAGGTAGTGATATTGTTCGGAGAAATTAGATTCTGGTCACTACTGGGGCTAAAAGGGTTGATGTTGATACAGGGGTGATACTGTAGGGATAAATTAGATATGAGTCACTCTTAGGGTTTCCATCAGGTTGTACCAAAGAGAAGTCAGACTGCATTTACTAAAAGATATTGATAAAAGATGGATAAGAATTAGAGTTGGTGTTACTGGATTACCATATTTTCTGGGGGTATCTAACTAAGCATACAGAGACAATTGGGGTTCTAGAACCAGCATGTGTTTGTGTTTGTGTGGATTTTAAAAATAATAATGCAATATCAAGCAGAGGAGTGACAAGATTTAAAATATATATATATATATATATATATATATATATATATATATATAAAGAAACTGTAAACTTCTGTGTTGAATGAAGATACTAAAACCAAGTCTTCTTTTAACTTTTACTTTGCTTTTGCGCTACACGTTTCACCGCTGTTGCCGCTCTTCAGGCATGGAAATAAAAATAAAAAAACCTCTCTTATTTCGAAATATAAACCCATTCTTAATGGCTTGAAATCACACTGATTGATCGCACGCACTTTGAAAAAACATAAGCCATTATTATTGTAATTACAATTAGATCAGTGATGTAACAAGTCAATAAACACACTTTGCTGTGCCTGAAGAGCCGCAACAGCAGTGAAATGCATAGCACAAAAGCAAAGTAAAAGTTAAAAGAAGACTTTCATTTTTCATTGGTTTTAGTATATATATATAATTATATATATATATAGATAAATATTTTAAGAGGAAAAAAGGACGCAACTACATTTCCCCAACAAGCCTGTTTCATGAATTGCTTCACTCTTAAACCCCTGAAGAGTGAAGCAATTCATGAAACAGGCTTGTTGGGGAAATGTAGTTGCGTCCTTTTTTCTCTTAAAATATTTATTCCACTCTGCTTCAACGTATTGAGCACTGTTCCACGCAAAAATCAACTTGCAGACTCCCTATATATATATATCAATTGAGAATTATTTGATTCAATGTCAAATTTTTTATAGTAAGATTGTAAGAATTTCATGGCAGACAGTAAGGAGAATTACTTATAAATCCTGGGAATGAAAGGGTTAAATAACACAGTATGACATACATGAACACAACCTGATTCACAAAATCAACTTTGTTTGCAGTCTTCCTGAGTGTTAACAAAAAACACTTCAATAACTCCCTCCTCACCCCCATGCAGAACTTTTGTAATAAGCCCCCTCCTCTCAGTCAGATTTTTAGCACATTTGAAGACAATTTCAGAAAGTCAAGGTCACTCTTTGCAATCTCAAAACTTAGTCTGTTTAATAATTTTATATGTAATTTTTTTATGATGTTAATAAATTATTGATAATTTTAGTCTATTAGCAAACCACTATGACATTGTTTTTTGTTACTTTGCAAAAGCTACAGTTTATATAAATGTTAATCCAAAAATGTTCTTTGAGATAAATCCATGATAGCATACAGAAAATAACATGTACAATGACTAGATTAATGAATATTATAATATTATTGATGAATTAAGCAAATAGCTACATAATATGATATTACTGAAGGAAAGAGTTGTATTTAAATTGAGACAAGTGTCCTATGATTACAATTTTTGTGTTTTCCTCAGCACAATAAAAAAATGCTATCAGCATTTGTGTTTTAAACTGAATGTTTTCATAAACAGCAGGGTTTTTTCTTAGGAATAGCACAAGAGTAGGTCATAATGACATGTGCCTTGTTGGCTATTTACCTTCTCATATCCAAGGCACGCTCATGGAGTAATTGTCAATTAGGGTTAGTGTGAAATTTGATTTCAGGTCTGAAAGCTTTTAAAGGAAATTCAGCTTAAATCTTTTTGATTGCAATTTGATCATTGTATGTTCTAAAAAGAATAAGGAAAATTTTCCCCCAAAGGCTTTTGAACAAAGAAATAAAGAAATCTGGATTAAAACTTAACCTGGGTTAGCGCTCATTGGGGCCTGGTGTATATCGTATGTTGTTTGTGACATTTCACTTGTTTGGTCATGGCTAAGATGACGCAGAAATTTAATCCAAGGGGGCATTATGTGAATGTGTCAAAGTGAGAATGGTCCCAATGTACTTGCAAGAGAAAAACTTATGCATGCAACTTATTCTATTTTTTTGTTGTTGTTGTTTTTCTACTTTGCTTTGCATTTGATTGGTACACATGTGCCATGAATATTGTATATGAGGTTCATAAACCTTATTTTATACATCAATAAAAATTCAGTTTCTTTCATGCAGGAGTGCAGCTTGGTGATGTATTTATTGATTTGGACTAAAAAATACCGTCAAATGTCAAGGGTTGAGGCGTGCATTCTGCTACAAAGAAAAGTATTCAGGCTTAGGTAATTCAGATTGTTCAACTGGCCCACCTCTGACAATCTGGGATGTTTCATTTCAGATCATTTCCACACCCACTCCATCACTTAAATTTAACTACTTTGAGAGTTGGGTGAGTTTTAGTTCCCATGCTTTTCTCTAAGAGAAGAAACTTCAAATCACCCTAATAACTTTGAACCAATTCTGAGCTGTATGGAAGCACTCGCAAGAGGCGAGGTGTGCCATTTCCTTTGTTTTTGTCTCTGTTTTTTTTTTCTTATTTTGAATCACCAACATTTTAGGATCCTACGTACAACCGTTTTTCCCATCGAGATCCTTGTAACCTTTTTAGCTTGTCCTCACAGCATTTGACAGGTGTAGCTGTACATTGAACTTGGGCTTCCTGTGCTAAATCGCCTAAGCGAAAAAGTCATCATCTGAGCAGATCTTTTAACAAATTCTTCCTTTGATCTCGAAAGAAGCGTAACAATGTTAGCAAATAATTAAATAACACCTTTCAGGTAGGTACCAAGAGATTGCTCCTCACATAGCCTTACTTTTCGCCACATTTTCACGGTCGTTAGGAAATACGCATTCAGAAAATTTCAACTACCAGATCAGACGAAGGACGCTTTCGCCTGGTTTTCGGGCAATCTTCGGAAAAATGGACGGAAGAACGCATTAGGAAATCTAACTTTTTGGAATAGCCTTAATGGTGTAAATGATTATTATGAAAGCTCATAAAACAACTTCTCGGTAAATTTTAAGAAGCAAAAAAACATAATCGCCATCTGTTAAAGACGATTATGAAGTTGTCGCTCGTCCCCAGTTCTCTCCATCGACGCGGCCATTTCACTGCCTTCAAACGTCACGTGTTTATGCAAGGTCTCTGAGTACGTATAAAGTTTCGTTTGCAGTTCGCAATAATGACGATGGACGTTGGTTATATCACAACTGAAACGTTTTGAACAAGGGAAATAGATAAAGGACATGAAAAACAACATCGGATGATCATTTGATTGAAAAAGAGAGAGTTATATGACGTACAAGCCGATTAAGTTCTAAGGAATGATTAAATTTTACTTTGACGACTAACTAATTTTTTCTTTTTTTTAAATACGGTACACCCTTAACCGCTTAAGTGTCACAAGGTGGGTTTTGCCAGTGGTTTGCGACGTCGTTATCGTTTCTCATGATCGCCTGGAGACGGTATAAATCAGTTTCTAATATTCAATGCAAACAGTCACGTATGTTGTCGACTCATCATTAATTTCGCGACTATCACTCGCGATTGAGCTTCACTCATTTACGTTTCGTAATAAAAACTGGACTGTGCGCGACCACCATAACGTTTATTCAGGGTGCCTTTTACATCTAACATCCTCTGAAGTTAATATGCTGCCAGCCACACACTGTATGCACAGCTGACCGACGCCTTTTTACGTAAATTACCCCGCATTGTTCACTAATGTTTCGCGTAATTTGCCCCGTTGTGTTTCACCATTCATTTCAGCGAGTTAAAATCTTCATTAATTGAAAATTGCGCACAACTTTCTGCGAAAAAGTTGCAAGGCCCTATAATACCCGAAAATATCAATTTTTCAGGCTGAAAGTGGTAGTTGCCCGTGTAAGACAAAAAATTGTACCCCGGACACGTCGAAAAAAGTCTGCTCAAATCCAAGTTTAGTTTCTCATATCTCAAATTGCAAAGCTTCCTTTTGTTAAGTCAATTTATGAATATTTCATTTTTCCTAAGATATTTGATAGAGTTACATTTAAAGCGGGAAAAAGAATGGTTTGTTAATACAATTAATTTTACATGAGAAAATCGGGATATGATCGATAAATATTAAAAAAAGTTTTCGTTCGTGCTATCAAAAATATAAGCTTCTCCCGAATCAACGGACAAAACTGGTGTGAAGGTGATTTTATCCCTTACGATTTTGTAAATTTTCAACCCGATCAATCCATATAACACATCTTTTTAACGGTTTAAAAGCCAATTGCATCGTGTATTTACATCACAAGGAGAAAATGCAGCCCTCGTATCAACAAATAAGCTCAAATGAAAACGATAAAAACAAATGAACTTTTGTTGCGCCGAATAAAAGTGGTAATTAGTGTTGCGTAGGTTGAGTTTAAGAGATATCGTGCTTTGTTTAGTATGTTAATATTTCTGAAATCAAACTCTGATCACTGATTTAAATGGGGTAATGATTATAGCTTTGTTAGTTGTTTACAGAAGCAATGAAAATCTTTTATAATAGGGCTCAAGCTCATATGCGCTATCAGTTACCAGATTGCTCTTGTTAACGAGATGAGCGGTTGAAAGCACTTCAGAGTTTCAGAAAAGGGGATTTGTTGTTCTACAGAATTAATCTCAAGTGATTCAAAGATATCGGCGACGAGTGCGGATTAATTTGAAAAGCATTTTGAATTATGTGTTCATTGCAACCTGTTCTTTTGTTTTCCTTAACTGATAACTCGCAAAAGTAAGAAAAAACTTGTTATCAGCAAATCAAACAGTTTTGCACAGCAATTATTTCGGCAAAGTGAGTGAGTAGAAGACCAGATTTTTTGTTTTAGAATAGCGGTTTGCAATCCATGTTGCTGTCTTAGTCAAATGGTTGAGTTCTTCTCATATAACTTTTTCATTTGTTTGTTCCGATTACTCTACAAACACACGAGGAATAACATATTAAAAATCTATATTTGAGTGTCGTCTAAATGCCATGCAGCTTTTTCGCGCGGTGTCAGCATAGTTGTTCAGTCGCCTTCAAGTTCAGCAAGAAGCGTTTCTTTAAGTTAAGAGAACATCAGTTTTCTTGTGTTAGTTCAAATTACAGTGAAAATTTATCTGAAAAGGGTCATTTAAAGAGACAAAGAGGACTCCATTTAAAAAGGTGTTGGCTTAAAGAGTCTTCGTCGCGAGGTAAACTTTGATTAATTGCATGCATGAAAAACCAACTTGAAGGAAATTTGTTCCTGTCCTGCTAAATAATATCATTCAAGTTCATTTGCGAGTCACGTGGAGATTTGGTTTGACGAAGAACAGAACCTGAAGGCCAATTCTTCTTCACTTTTTGCTTATGGAAGTGTTAATAATATAAATGGTTGTTTTGCATTTGTCAGTCAGATTGTCATGAAAAGTCTTTACTCGTTGAACTTTAAGTTACTAGTGAAGTCTTAATGCGGAAAATAAGAGCGTTTGACACGAATACTTTTTACTAATCTAGGTTAACTTTAAGAGTTATCCTTCAGGATATAGTGTCGGGTTTCAAAATGAGAAGGAATTTTTATCATTTGGTGTTCCTACAACGAATGCTCTTTATCTAGAAACATGTGTAAGCTAAAGGCTTAAATTAAGAATGCTTTAATTCGTTTTGTCGATAAATGACCCGGCCAACTCATTTGAAACCCGTGTGTTCTATTTTGACTGAGAGGATTCGGCGGGCGGCGAAACAATGTCACACTTTCAAATGCTGTTGAGGTGTGAAATAGAAGATATTTTGTTAAGTTGTGGGTAAAACCTGAGTGTGGGTTAGATTTTCCTAATCAGGTGAAAAAACTGTTTGGATGGACTAAAAACTCTGTTAAGTGGTTGTTTAAGACAGTGAAATCAAAGTTGACGGCCGATCAATGAAATGGGACAGTTTCCTCCTGACTGTAACCTCCATGGCAACACGATGATGCGTAGTAGAGCGCTCGCTTGGAGATGATTTTTTGTGTCGCTTAACAAAGCGAGAAATGAAGCTTTTGACACGCTCTCTTGGTATTGGCTGGCAGGCGTCTTTCACACCAGCTTCAATTAAGGGTTGCGGGCATTCAACACACAATTGGACAGCTTTGTAAACTCGTCCTCTATATTTGTAGCGAGTTTGCCTGTTAATTTAGTTTCTACGAAGCGAGCCTCGAGGATCGACCACATACATTATGGATCTCCTACGCCATCGTTATCTGTACTCGCATCACCATCCGTATCGCCTGGCAGGAATGCGATACGGGGCCGTATCACCTTATCAAGTTGTGTCTATACCTCGTTGCACCTGCGAGTGTTACTGTGAGAGGAGTCGAGTGCAGTTTGCTGAGGGTGAATCTCGAAATGCACCAGACACCGACAGGGAAGGAAGAGCCAGAGATTTCGATGATCTGAAGAATGGTAAGTTGTTCATGCCGCGGGGGAATTCCATTGTCGGAGCACTGCGAGTGAAATACTCTCGCTCTACGAGTTTTTTAAGTGCATTTTGAACTTTTCACACGTCCAGTTTATCAAAAATACAAATTTTTACGCGATTAACGAGCTGATTTCTGTATGTATTAGCTTTTCTACCGTCCAATATCATCTTTTTTAACTTCCTGATAATATTGTAGTTGGTGAGTGCGGACGTTCAAAGAAACGTCAGTGAGACGCGATGAAAAAGAAACAGTCGGAAGAGAAAACTACAGTTAGGCTTGATTCAACTTGCCAAGAAAAACTGTTTCAAAATTGTAGTATCCCGTGAACTTTAAACCAAAATATCTGTCCCCTCGAGTGAATCCTTGAGGCGATTAAAACTTTTTATTCAGATTAATAGCTTCAATACAATCTTACTCAAGGCACGATATTGTGCAGATGTGAAGAAACTCGCACAGAGAACACATCATTGGGCCTCATTCATTGCTCCATGAAATCGATAACCTATTCTCTCAGTACAAAATCTAAGTATCAATTATTTCTAAAACCAGGGAGCAGCTGTTTCTAATGCAGAAGTTTATCCTTCTTGGCAGGGCTTTGTTTCGGAAATGTTGCGCTTTTTTTACTACAATGGTAAAGATAATGTAAGGAACTCAGAGTTCGGTTCGGCTCTAGATGAGCACTTTTGTGTTGTTGTTTTTTTTCGGCCTGTAAGTGGCTAATTTCAGACAAATTTAAAAGAAAATGATCCTCTATATGTCTACCACTAATTCTAGAAGACTGGATTCATCGTCTCCTTTACAGAGAGTTATCCAACGCAATATAATGTGCTTTTTTTGTTACAAATGACTATTTTATTCATTTGGCACCGACGCTAAAATTGAAAATCGGATATTGGTTTTTGAAGTTTTAGAGGTAAGATAAAATACACCTTCGTTATTTCCAATAGTAAAACAACCTCTGCTAGGTTTTAAACGCAGAAAGTACGGGTGCGCTAAGACCTTTTATTAGCTACTGCTGTTTTTTTACTAATAAAATATTGTCATACTAATGAATCCTTATTAGCGCTTGTAAAATCTTTAAGAACCAGAATAAATGTAACATTTCTAGGCACTTACATTAACATTTGTATGTGGTTTGATTTCACCTACGCTTTTCCCATAAAAACTTCAGTCTTTAAGTAGTTGCTTTGTTTCGATGGCAAAATGAAATTCCATCTACTTTGTCTGCTTTAGTGCGTTACCCAACAAAGTTCGACTGAAATCTATAAATGCAATGTAAATTTTTTTTTCACAACAATTTAACCAGGGTAAGTCTGAGTTCTAAACCTTTACTCGAATTTATCTTACAGAGAAAATGTCCGATCGATTCGTTGTAAGATATCAAAAGTCCCTTATTTGATATCAATGTTTCCTAATGTGTCACTCATTCACAAATCGATTTCGACATAAAATTCAACATAATTAACTTCTACGCGATACCTTGGTTGGCCCATCTTTGCCCAGCTGCCAGCTTGTGAAAACAGAGAACCGGCGCTTATCGATCATTCTTGAATTGAAGTATACACAAAACCAATGCTTTATACAAACTGCGATTCAAAAATTCTCACCCTCTAAGTATTTTTTTATTGCCTCATTATCTCTGTAAACTCGTGCAGAGGGCTGTCGCGGCACTGATTTGTTTTCTGACAAATTGCCTCCGATACAAATTAACCACTGATGGCGAGGTAATAGTGATCAAGTATTTCTAATAAGAATAGTTTCGTAACGGTAAAAAGATTGCAATTTCCGCATGGTTTCGTGCCCTATTTTTAATGAGGTTTTATAAACGTACTCTACCCGAGCTGTAGATCTAAGAATCAATTTTTGCTGGTTCGAGAAGCGGAAATCGATTATAATCCTAATAAGAAGTCGCTTTGAAATGAATCAAGAGGAACGGTTAACATTTATTGCAATCTCGTCCACATACCCAATCTTACTTATTTTCGAATTGTTTTCACTCAGAATAACTGTTAAAATCCTCTTTTCTTTCTTTCTCAATATGAAGAATGATGTTTCGATTATCTTGAACCCGCTTTTCAAAGGTATTTAGGATATGCGAAAAACGTGACTTTTCATGTAAATCGAGTAGTTCTCTTTGGCAAACTTGAATTAGAGACTCCAACTGAGAGCTGTAAAACCAGAGAGAAAATATATGTCGAACCGAGTTCTCATTCGATTTCAAATCCAATTCACTAATCATTTTAAATCGACTAATTAATCCAAAATAGACCTAAATCTATTTCTAATAATTGGTGATCTTTCTCTGTTTCAACCTCAATAAATGAACAAAGGAGACAGTGCGCGCCCTGACTGTTTTCACTATGATTTGTTTAATGTTATGATTCTTTCATGACACTGCCTTCAGGGACTGTGTTGTTGCACCTGAATACAGTGTTAATACATATGCACAGGTGCTGGTGAATATCGCTATTCTGTTGATATCTGCGAACTAGATGTGTCCAAACAAGTAAATAACTCCTATACGCACGTCAACCTCTGGGAGGGGCTCTTCGCTGGCTTCTTTGTTTTGCATACCGCATAAAGGTCCCGGATGTGTCACATATCACTCAATCTTGGATCATTTGAGATTGAACAGTTTCAATACTGCGGTTAAGATCCAGTGAAACTGCGTTTCTGCTAGAAAAAAAATTAGAGTTTCTAGTTAAAGCATCTAAGTAAAAAGAGTTCACGATTGAAGCTCAGAACAATTTCCTGATGAGTAGGCACATAGTTGTACTCATTATCAGCGGAGCTAAACAGTATCCAAGTTTTAACCCTAGCTAGCAACTCAAAGCTTTGCCAGACTCTAAAAATCAATGCACTTTTAAACTAGCCGAACAAAAGAAGGGGTAAACATCTCGAGGGCATAAGAAAAAATAAAGAAAGGACATGCCTCCGGCCTAAAGTGCGATAAAAAGAGGCGATTGATTTTATATTTGCATCACGCGGCCATTGGTTCAAGAGAGAACTTGAAGGGGGTGGGGGAGGGGAGGGGGTCGGCTTTTTAGCTACTCACTAAACGCATTGAAGTACAAGGGCTCCAAACAGTTGAATTGAGTTAACTTCTCAATGAACTAGTGCTCATCATTTATTTCATTTCCGCAGAAGACTTTTGTCACGATAAAACAGGAGGTAGGAGAAACAGAACCACTTACAAGAGATGGCAAATCGAGGAACTTGAGAGAGCATTCGCTCTGAATCCCTATCCAACCAGTGTGTTCAAAAAGTCCCTCGCTTTAAGACTAGGACTGAGAGACTCACGAGTTCAGGTAACAATACTCTCGTGTTTTCATATGCGCATTTCAAGGTTCAAGGTGCACCCTGTGCTGGCCATATGCTCTTCCTTTAAGGACAATTATCATAATTTAGTAACTCTTCACACCCCAAAATCAGTGTACATATTTTCACATTGTTCTTCAGACATTTCCTAAGGTGCTGACAAGGAGAATTTGTTTAACAATCAAGAGCTTATTTAGGTGGTGATCATTGCCTATATTCTTGCGACCTTGATGTGTGATGCAGGGGTGATTTTGTAAGGAGAAGTGAGATGCTACGATTTAAAGTATTAAAAAGAAATTTGTCATACCTCATTCTCTCCTCAGGTCTGGTTCCAAAATCGTCGCGCGAAGGCAAAACGAGAAAGGCACGGCTCGTCTGAGTGTCTAAACGATACAGAAGTGGAAATTACAGAGGAGGAAAGATCTTTAGAGGCGGAAAATCAAACTGACGTCGAGGAAAACAAAGAACTTGATGTAGACGTCGACTAAAGCGAAATCTATTTGCTTTAATTTTTATCCAATATCATTGGGCTCGTTTTTGACAGTGATCTCACAACAATATTCAAACCAGAATAACAAAACCTTCATCTTTAATCATGCCAACCTCAATTTAAGGCAACGATAATGGAGGGATAAGGAAACCATCTTGGAAGATTTAAAACAAACACCACTGCGCATGCACAATTTCTTGACCTTTGGCCAACCAGCTTGGCCCATAGATATATATGCTTAAAGCATTTAATTAGCTTAAGAAAAGACCAAATATGCTGCGTGTTGATGTGATACGATGTTTATAGAGCTAAGATGACCTGAAAAAGCTTATGTTGAATTTTATTGAATATCTATTGCCAAGAATAATATGGCCATCGCAAAGAGATAAGTCAATAAATGTATATATGATGTAAATAGAAAACCATCGTAAAGTTAAAGTTTATTGTTTTCTTGATGTCCTATTCTCTCTCTCAGCGGAAACGTGTCTGTGAAATCGTCGGAGTCCCAACCAAGTTTACCACACAATTTTATGTCGTCAGTGTTAACCCTTTAAATTCCAGAAGTGATTAACATATAGCTTCCCCCTATGATATCCATGTATTATTCTACAAACAGGTAATGTGAATACTCAGGCTTATCAGGTAAACGTGGTTACCCTGATCTAGCACCAAATTCTCGAAACTAATGTGTAGGGAATGTGTAGCAGGTAGAGAGGAGAGTTAACAATCAGATCTTGGGAGTTAAAGGGTTAAGAACTGACCTTAACTCAAGTATAATTCATGAGACCTTTCGACCAGAACTCCAATCATTTTCAAAACTATTCACAGTAATTATTTTTAAACAACGTGTTAGAATAGCACTTTTTTTCCAGATATTCTCTCCTTGTCTCTGCTTACCTGTAAAAAAACAGATTGAGCTCAAATTAGGCTCTATGATAAAAGTGGATAAAACTAAAAATTATTCAACCACTTTCCGATGTTTCTCAGAAGTCTTGTACTGTACTTCTGACAACTGCCAGGATTTGAGACTATCTTAAGAGGTAATTTCAAGCATCCCTTATACCGCCAAAAATGAACACAGTGGGCAAACGATGTACTTGTGCAAACGTTCTAATCACTAGGTGGCGTTCTTTCAGGCTGTTAGAACCAAGTTGTATCATACGAGTTGCAAACAACACATATATAAACCAGCAACTCACAGTGTTTTAAAAGTGTATAACTTGTTTGTTAAAGATCAAAACAGGATTGCAAATCAACTGAATAAGCTTTGGGTAAAAAAAGTCTTGAATGTTCCTCTTCCCACCTTTTGTTTCCTTTACAGATTTCTGTGGACTTTTCAATTTTCTCTCGTTCATTCTTTCTTATGTTTCCTTTATATTTTGCGCGGCAATCCGTCTGACATTTGCTGTATCCTAAGTAATAATTTCCCGCCAAAACCGCGGCTGCCACGCCGCGCGCGTGCTGCCATTTTAGTTGTCGTTTTTGGCGTAGCTACAATGGCCGAGCTAAAAACTGTTTCTATCAACATAAACTTGACGCTTTTTCTCATAACTATCCGAGAAGACATAATGGAGAGTCCGTAAGAAATGGAGGTAAGTGAATAGAAATTTGAAATGAATCACTTTCCTTTTAATCCATAACAAAACCAACATGGCGAGCGGTAGCTGTAAGTGGCATCGTGAATCGGTTCAGTGAAAGTTCGCCAAGATTCCCTGTTTTACTACAATACAGTCTGTTACACCGAACTGTTGGTATCGTGACATTAGGTAGGACCTGAGTAGCTTTGAAGGACAAAGAAATGCAACAGTTTTAGCGATAATGTAATCATCTGCTCGCAAAACTAGGCTGTTCACAGCAACGTAAATTTTCCCTGTTGCTATACCGGCTCTCGACTCATGTGCGAACTGAAATTTTATTATTTCCTATTTCCTTTGGTACATGAAAGCGACGAAGAACAAAAAGAAAAAAAAAACTATATCAAACGCGTTAAGTTTATCGAGAATTTGCTGCCTTTCGCCGTTTTCCACCAGGTCTTACCAGGGTACTTTTCAAAAATACATTCTTCTGATAAGCCGTGAATGCAGTACAAGGAACAGTTAACTCTGGAGTAATGTTTCTCTGAATAATAAGAATGATGAAAAGGATACATACGAGGAAAGTGAATAGAGGCATTGAAAGAAGTGAAGATAAATGAAAAATGCAAAGTTACTGCAGTTAATGTTGTCAGCTCCCCGACCTTAAACAGTCTTTTGTTTTTTGTATTCGCATATTGCAACTGAATAAAGTAATGGTAAATAACCATTGATCAGTCAGCTCAAAATGATTGAAATGCATTGACCGTTGCGAACGGCCAGGTCGAAAAAACCCAAGCAAAATCATACAACAAAGAGTCTGTCGGATTTCTTTGCCTTTCACCTCTACAACAGATTTTTTTGTTGGCTGTTCGAGGCGAGTGTGGCCCTGACCTTAGGTAATAATAACTTGAATAACAAAGCAATTACAATTTTCTGGCCACTGATTTTTCTCACCTTTAGTTCAGCGTGATTCGCTGCGGAAGGACTGGAACTTACTCCGAGGATGATCATGCATCATAAGATTAAGCAGTTTTCTGTTTGAAGCGAAGGTACCTTGTTCATCCATTACAGTGTTCAGCATACATTACCTAACAAATAGATAAGCCTTGTCTGTGCTCCGTTCTGTTGTAAAGCACGCAGGAAGCGGTCAGTTAGAGCACGAAAGAAGTGTTGAGGGAAACACGAGACGTAGTCGAGTATTTCTCCTCACTTCTCCCTACTTATAATAAAGAATCCGTTAAATTCCCTACGCATAACTTTCAATTTTAAAAAAAAAATTATTTCCAAAGCGAAAAACAGTAACGTCAGCATGCTCTATACTCTCATAAAGCACGCTACAATAAACCAATCAGAATTCCTGTTAAAATGGTTCAAATAATCTAATTGGCTGTACAAGACTAAAGCTGTCAAAAACGTCAAACCATCAAAGTTCACATTCTGCATGAGTTTACAAACTTAATAGTTCGGCAGGTCGAATTTAACATTTTTGCTTAAAGTTTTTCTTTCTCTAATACAGAATCTGAAAGTGAAATGTTCAGTGAAATCCGGCCGAATTGTGGCTCATGAAAACACGCAAGTTTTTTCACATGATAATTAAAAACCAAACTGTTCAAGCGTGCGTTTTATGAATGAAGGATAGCCGAGTTTACCGGAATATGAAAATTGCTCGGGATGACAGCGCCGTAAATCTCGGCTGCAGTGAATGATGTGGCCTTCCACTCAACGCATCGGAAAGGGCGTCCGATGTAATTTTCTGAGGCTTACTTTACAGCGATGACCGGAGATCGCCATGATGAGCTGTCCGCGTTGGACCTCAGCATGATCGCGGTCGTTCTAACACCGTCATGATGAGTATGAATTTTAACAGTTATGCCAGTTTGGCTATATTTTTCATCATTCCTGTTTTGTTCTGTTTCGTTTTTGAACACGAAACTATGTATACTCAGGCGTGACCAATTAGTAATTTCTACTCACGATATCGATACACTATCAAACTGAAAGGTGACGAGGACACAGGGATACCTGATTAAATACCAAATTCTTCAATATGATGACAAATGTGTGGCGGAAAACAACGAAAATCACTTTTGAGATCTCGAGAGTGGAAGGGTCAAAAGAGTTGAACATTCATCGTGTTTTAGAAATAATGTAAAATAGTGATCTGAAAGGGACGCAAAATGTTCATGATTCAGCGCAAATCATTATTTAAGACTATATTTACTGCAAAACATTTGTTCAACGTATCCCATAGAATACATGCTGAAATTCAAGACTTAAAAAGGTGAACCATGCATCTCTCAAAGCGTTTACTTAGCTTGCTACAAACATCTACAAGGAGCTATATCCAATTTTGCAAAACTTCTTTTCAGTCTCTTCAAAATTTGTGAAGTTTACTGCCTTCCCCCTCATGTAAAGTGCATCACCACAGAACAACGATCGTTTGGACGATGGTTAAAGTCTCAGGATATTGAACTTTTCGGCATAAGGAGGCCACGTAAATAAGTAACCATAGTAACTTTTCCTGCGTGCCGGTCACAGATGCGATTGATCTAGATAGTTAAACTGGCTTGCATTCCGCTGGCGCACATTTTGCAAGTTTGGATTTTAAATATCTTGTTACCAGCGAAAAAATAGTACACAATAAATCATACATCTCCTGAATTTGACCATGCCTTTGCCCCTCTGACGAACCGATGTCTTTGATGTTGTTGCGAAATGTAAATATTTGTCGGTTTAGGTCTGACCCGTACTGTTCCACCACGTACTTTGTGCCCCACAAGGAGAATTCCGCAACCAAAACTAAATTCGCCCAGGACAAAACATCATCAAATAGACTTGGGGTCTGTGCATTATCTAGGATAACTTAGTCGGCTTAGGAAGACTCCTACAGTATAAACCAGTTTATGTCTGCTTATAATAATTCAGATATCATTTAGAAATTCTGCTAAATCACGAAGCCATTAATGGCCTCCTGACTTAATTGATTTATCATTTCAGTGTTAATAATTCACATGTGAATAATCGAAGAGAAATATATCTGCTCTTTTTTCAAGCGAATTACACCGCTATCCGTTTGTTTGGGCCCACAAGTCTCATCTAAACGCTAAAAAGATTTTTGAGTGGTTGTGTTAAAAGACCTGGAATGTCGCCACTAAGTTAAATTTCTTCTTCATTCGCTCGATCTGAGGTGTGCATGGTGTTTGCCTAGGCAAGAATTGCGTTTTACTGTAGAAGTATTGAAAACTCGAAGAAATGTTAGATGGTGATGGATGAGGGTCAAACAATTTATGCCCTGTTCAATTCTTTTGACATTTGTAAAATTTTATTATGCCTCCCATAAAGGAACTTCCTTTCCCTTGTACCGAACAGCATGTCTCTCTTCCTCGGAGATCATCCGTCATGCACCCAGAACGGATAATCCGACAGGAAGCGCACGGAAGCCAAAAACGGCGGATAAGTTAGGAGGGTGCAGAGTAAAATAGAAAATGTAAGGAGTGCAAGAATTAGGATTTTTTTTAAACTTTTTTTTACTTTTTCTTCGGGAAGGTTAGGCCGCAATATATTATAAAAATAATAGAGTGACACCAGCAAGCTAATTTGTTAAGTACCGTGAATTTGACGATGATTTACCGGGAAGATGAAAAGAGAAAATTTTTTTGGAAATTCTGTCATACTCTGTGAACTTCGTTCATCTCAAAAATCATATTTTCGGCAGGAAGTGCAATTACCTAACATCTTCATTTCTTTGACACCACGAAGATGAGAAAAATTTATCTTTTTTAGTCAGTGTCAACATTTGTTTCTATTTATATCAGCACATGCTTTTATTCTGCGAGGGGAGGGCTTAAACGAATGACGGCTGATTTAAAGTAGCTTGAAATCTGTCAGCTGGATGTGCACAAGATATAAGGATTCCAGGAGGAATCAGGAAAGGAACTGAACGAGTAGGTATTTCGGAAAGCCTCAAAACACGAACTCGATCTGCCCATTTTGTACCATTTGGACAGCACCGTAAGCCCTCTTTTGAGCACCACCAATATCATAGCTTTTCTCTATAATTGAATGCAAACTCAAGCAATGACATGATTTCAGGCTGGTTCACATTTAAGTTTATACTTGAAAATGCCTATGGAATTCAGTGTTTGTGGATCCGGCATGTGGCCATTGAGTTAATAGACGGGATTAATTCCATTCTTCTCATATTAAGTCGTTGAAAACTTAAACCAATTAATGGTGTCCTCAGCTGGACAATGTTACTGAATCCATTTAATTATGAGCTTTATGTTCCCCAGTAAAGGTCAAAATGGGGTCGCTCAAACTAGCGAATCTCGGTATCTTCAACACAGCGAATTCCACTGCATCATTAGGGTACTGTTTGTGGAACACACTCCATAGACTCAAGTCATCGCTCTTGTGTAGTATCAAAGACTTAAGAGGGTTCGATAAAAGAGGCATTTAATCCATGATCTAATATAACTTTCCGCCACACTCTCTCGAGCTTGCTCACCAGCCGATTAATTAACTCGTCATATTTTCACCTACCTGACCTCTAGCCGAAGTTGTTGGGATGGTTGTACTTGAAACCATAACCTAGTAACATGTACGTTGAAGCTTTACACCAGAAAAGAAGTAAAAAATTACTTCTGCGAGGGTACAAGTGTCCTTTGAAGCGTGGCGGGTTCTGATAATCTTGCTAATAGCTTTGCTCAAGGCTCTATGGTATTTGATTTAGTATGCTTTAAAATTCTATACGTCAAACCTTTCTGGTATTTTCACAGTAAATTTAAAGCTCGAAAACTCTTTTATTTCTCAAAGTTTCCGCTGATGTGCACGATCAGAACATTTAAACACCGCTATGTATCGCTTTAGACAAGAAACTGGAAGTAAATCTTACAGTGCTTACTTGAGGACGTTTTAAAATGTCAAAATGTCGTTCATGTTGTAAAGATTTCAATGTCCAATCTCTTGGAGATCTATTGTTAAATGTCCACTGACTAAGCCAATTAGTTTTTTGTATCCAAATAAAACCTAAAAATTGGCCGCAGTGGGAATGTTAAGTCTTGGCAAATTGAGGGTAGAATTCCCTTTGGTATCTCTTACAGAACTTTAGAATGCAACATATACCCGAATAACTCGAGATTTACAAAATTAGACCCGAGCAGTCATGTTTGTCTCGACGAACAGAAAGCTATTTACCATCATTTTTTTGTCTATAGAATTAGATTGTTTATTCTCAACTGATAGGATTAAGAATTTAACAAAATAAAAATGGATTTATAACTTTATGAAACAGCTGAGGAAAGTATGTTTATTTCACGGATGTCTTTAATCTGGTTGTCGCACGATTCTAGTTGACATGTGTGGAAATTAATCCCGTTATTAGCTTCCAATTGATCAGGAAGTACTGCTGACAGGTTACTGTCGACCCCAAATTCCCGCTAATCAGTTCAGACAGGCCTCGTCAGTTCCCAAGTTTCACCAGTTCATTTTTTATGCTCACTCCTTCGTGACTTTTATACTTGTTGATCTCCACTTTCGATTCTTTTTTATTATAATACTTGACGCTGACATGGCGATCATTTAGGTGAAGTTGCGACGAAAACTCACATTGCTCAATGGACTCTTACGATGAGTGTTAAGGAGATTCGGTGACCTTGTTACACACCAAAGCAGGCTAGCTTGCTTGAGGGGAAATTTTCATTCAAGAGACCTTTGACGTCATTGAGTAGGCAATCAATGGGTTCTTAACACTTGAACACAAAATATGCATAGAAATATGCTTAAAAAATAACTACGAAATTGCTTTTCAGCGGAAATCGATCGGCTATAAGTGAGGACATTGGCACACCGGGAAAATCGCTATAAATCCGTTTTATTTTATTTTAATCTGAGTAGAGATGCGTTACTTTTCTTTTGGCACACTTTAAAACCGGAATTGATTAAACAGGGAGTTACTTGAATCAATTTGTGTTCAAAAGAGTCGAGAAGATTTGAGATTTGCGGACCACTCGACGACGTTTTTCTCAAGTTCATTTTTTCTAGTCATATTAAGTTATTCCAAGAGAAATTATTTTCTCATGGTTTTTCTGAAGCCAGTTCTCCAGTTATGTTGTTCATTTTGCTTTTCTTGTATAACGGGTAAAGCTGAAATATCAGAAATACCAATTTTGCCCTTGCTATACTTTTAGTCTTATGAAATGCTCGCTATTTCTTCTTACTTCAGTTTTTCCGCCTTGAAGGCCTGCAATGATCTTGAGACCCCCTAGTCTTCAAATTCACTGAGTAGGAGGCGGAGGCGAAGAAACGTACCTAAATCATAGATCATTTCCAAAATAGAAACCTTTCTTCGTTCAGCAATGCCTGATGATATACATTTCCATATTGAATTGCAGCAGAGCCCCACCTTGTGATGTTTTAAGTTTGGCGACCACTTCTAATTTTGCTGCGGCCAATTGTTGAAACAGTTTTACATTCATAAGTACCTTACTTGCTAATTAGCTATGCGGCTCCATGTTATCTTTGTTTTGCTCTAAATTCAACTACTTCTAAGGTCAGTTAGGGAAGGGTTGTCTTGTTTTAATCAGCAGGAAGAGTGGTATCAGTTGCAAAGGGTAGTTCTATGATATTTATACGGGACTAGATGAAACATTGTTGCGCCAGTATCTGTTCATTTTCTATAAAAACAAAACTATTAGCCAGTAATCCTGTTTACAATTATGTCAACCACTCTTAATTTAAAGCTTATGAGGGCTTGATCTCACAAATGAAGGTTCAAAGTCTGGATAAATGATACACTCACTAATGTGATATATGTGTTCTTTGCCTCAAAAGACCGCCGTCGACAAGAGCAACCTGCTTTTTAAGTTCGCTCTATCTCAGTTATTACAAAAGTTATTTTGCTATAGCTGGTCATTTTCAGATTCCCAGTACGTCCCACCTAGCAAGCATAATTTGTACTGCTGTTGATTCACAAAAGTATTTGTTTTCAGACAAAGAAACAGATTACATCTATTCTGAACGTCCTCGAGCAACCTTTGGAGTTGACCTTGAAATGAAACGTGGTTCCACCTGAGGTACTGTCTATCTACATATTCCTGAACTTTCATAGTTTGACTTACAGTAAAATCTGCTAGTGACTTATCTGTAAGTTCGAGGGTTAAGCATACAATTTACCTCAGGGGCAGAAAAGAATGGCGCTAACCTATGTTCATTATGGCTGCAGTGTTTTGAGAGTCTAAGAAAGCCATACCCTGAATCGAAGATGATCACCAGAAAATCAAATTCAGAGCGTCATATCGACGAACAAATGAGTCAGTTTTTAATCTGTCGTGTATATTTTCCCATGCCTTGATTTTGTCACAGGCCAGCTATCGCGTGAACTCCCCAAACCAGATTTCATCATTTAGTTTAAATTATATGTCCTTTCGTAAAATCCATAGATGGATCATAACTTGGACACGGATGTATCATCTCTGAAACTATCTTATTTTCAGGGTAACCAACCAAGTAAGTCCTCCATGGTATTGAAATGGAGCCAACCTACTATTCCTTACTTAAACTGAGAATATGGCTGACGGTTTTGTGCTGTTAGAGCCAATTTTCCCTTGGTGCAGTTCAATCAACAATATTACTGTATAATCTTCTAGGTTCGATGTGGCAGTTTGCCATAAGCCGTTTGTGTTATTGGCTTGAAAGTGATAATTCATTCTGTCAATGATGTCGTGCTATGGTTTTTTTCTCATTTCCTGACCAACGAAAACGCTAACAGGAAACAGAGTTACCTCAGACTAATGACAGTAGTCCAGTAGCAGACTTTGGTCTGTGTCTGATGAAGTGTCACCGTTAAATAGGACGCATGTTTAACCGAAAAGTTTGGAACTCATAAGTCAATAAATAAACATGAATGGGTCATTCGTGCAATCAGGTCAATGCTATCGGTGTTAAAATGCTCGATTAAGTATTATCCATACCAATGTTTCAAATAAGAGGAATATAATTGCAAATGTGTTGAAAATCAACTTCTATAACAAGCACTAGAGTGGATCTTCTTATTATCAAGGTGTCTAGTTCCATTATGCACCCAACCTACATCACTGAAAAAAAAACTGATTAGGCTGTATATATAGTTATATATATTTGAATGTATTCCTTAGCCGCTGACGGACATTGTGACTTTCTGATTCAGAAATGATAATCAGGGCAGCCATAATATTTTTACTGAATTACAACGAGTAAGAAAAAGTAGTTGGCACGCCTCCCCCTACTGGGTGATCGACAACCCTCTTCTCAACATGATAAACAGAAATATTGTAATTCATCTCTAATAAGTTACTTGAAAGCCCCCGCTTTTCCACCAAACAATGTTCCCTGAAATTAGTGACCGTTTTGTCACCACCAGGCAACATTGAAATGGGGGAGAGAGAGGGAGATAGATGAAAGTTATAGAAATAATTCAAAAATTAACAGAGTGTGCCAAGAGTTTTGCCCCTTATTGTAGATGTAGGTGTTTGTGAGTCTGAAAGGTCTTGGGTTTTATTTGTTTAAGGAATAAATACAACATTTCATCTTCAAGAATACAACAAAGTTTCTCGTCAGTCATGAGTCTCTGATAAGACTTAAGCAGTTACTGCAATTTGTAGGGCGTGGCTTAGAAGCATATGTTTTCGGAATTCTACCGGTCGATTATGTAAAACAATTTTTTTCCCTTTTAGACTACAACTGTAAGGAAGCAATGTTGAAAGGCCGATAAAACACACTGGGATGGACACACAGCCGACATGCTTAACTCAACCAACAACTGACCGACAAAACGACGGTAAGACACATAAATGGCTTCTATGAAAAAATTTACAATCTGTTTTGCGTTTGTTTATTATAGCATATTGTTCAAGTGTTGATTGTTTATACAGTACAAGCCTCTGAACAAGTCCATTATCATTGTCCTTTGCCTCGAAAATATGTCTTTTCAAAATTTGTTCCTCCGGTTGATCGTTAGGTGGGAAGCACCTGCACCGGCTCTTAATAGTGATAAGATTGGGGAAGGAATCCGAAAGATTGTTTATTTCAGGCAGCATAGCCTCAGGAAAGACTCCTTTCACGTGTCGAGAGCCTCGCGTCAGACGATCTGTCATAATTGAATTTCCTGGCATCAAACTGGATGATCTTCCCTTATTCTCGCTGACAATAATAAACCGGTACACACGACAAAGAAATCCTAACCACTGCAATGAATTCCGTTTGCCATGCGCCCGCAACGGGCCAAGTACGTCCATCCTCTAAGTAAACGCTTCTCTCAAAGACACAATAAAAAGGTTAACAGAGCTAGCGAGATTTACTTGTCAATCGGATTTAGAGCAAGTGTAAATTTAATCAGTTGTGTCATTGGCATTAGCGACAGTGGGGCGTGTGTGGTCTCGAGGCTTTAAATCTTTCAGATCCCAGAAGCGATATGGAAAACATTCCACTAATTTAATTGTAAAAAGAGTTCGTTAAATCCAGATGCGCGGGTTGATTTCCCTAAGATATGCCACTGACCACAGTTAAAATATGGCTCTTGAAAAAAAGAGCATGTACTTCGTGTTATTCTATCATCGCAGATGAAAAGGGGATAACGCTGTGATTTATAGCTTTTACGCTTTGATTTAGTAAGCAATAACCAGCGTAATGAAAAGCGCAAATCTCTCTATTGTCATTTTATCAAATGTGCCCACTGTATTTGTACAATGGTTCGATAACTTACTAATCTTTAACTCGAGAGTTCGGTTACTGATCTCACAATTTGATTCTGCTCAGTAGTAATCGCACACTGCCAAAATGTTTACCTAACAGCTAAACGCGTAGAATAAACAACCCGAATCACAAACAATCACCAATTAGTGCGCGAAGTAGACAATCGCGCAACAGCGCGGCTCCGGTCGCCTTGGTGTCGAGTGATAGTTATGGCGTCGGGACTAGGCTTATCAGCTCTAATTACTTTAGACATAATTAGATAATTAGACAGCTGACTTGATGGCTTGTTAGTCATCTCTGCTTGCCTGCTTACCCTGCCAGTGGCTATAGTCTCAAGTTTCTGTTAACAACGTTCACTGCCTTCCTAACAAGGCGCCTAAAGCTTCGGCGCGTAATCAATCCTTCCTTCTGACGGAAGCGCACGCGTTTTCTTAAAGTGCACTTTGGGAGCGCCATCACACTTACTTTGGCGCTGGCTTCGACCAGAGCGACAGAGGATTATGAATTTTCATCCTTCAACTTTTAATCTCATGTTGAGTGAGGCCGAATCCTGTGCGCACGCAGCTGGGGTGAATGTGCGCTATTCGTGTGCGACAAATGCCGGATCAGATGCAAATTTATTCCATTACCCTGTAACTCTTGGTAGTTTGGCTGATTTGAGTTCGGACTCCGAAGTCGAAATAATCGAGGCCATAGGTATGCAAATTTCCTCTTCGCACTCCTTTATTTGTACTTTGGTCTTGCGTACTGTACGCTGTGAAAACGCACTGTGCGCTATGAGAACCCATTGTGTACAGCTACCTGACCTTGTTTGTACCATAGTGAAAGAAATTTGTTTTCTTTGTCTCCGATGCGATGCCGTTTTACAGAAATCCCTATCTTACCCAAGAAGCGGAGAAGCAGGACGAACTTTGATGCTTGGCAGCTGGGGGAGCTCGAGAAGGTTTTCAGGAGAACACAGTATCCGGACGTTTTTACCAGAGAAGCGCTTGCTCTAAAACTTGACTTACTCGAATCAAGGGTTCAGGTGAGAAAACTGTGTCTCAGAAATAGCAAAGGGGAATTTATCACACCTTTACGTACATAATTCTTGTATTGTTGTCATGCCTGGTGTTTTAATCTGCGGCTGTGAAACAGGAACTATCAGTACCCTCAGAATTTTTTAACTCTTGCTCCCGTTGTTGATCTTAAATTCTTTTTCACTTCTTCAGACTAAATCTTTTCTATTCTAGAAGCCATTATTAAACTTTTAAATAGTGAGCAAACCTCGCACAACACCATCTATAACAGATGCTCGCTCGGGCGTCAATTTTCTTAACACGTTTCGCCGGCTACCTAACTTAGTTTTCACACTAGTCAACCGAACGATGAACAGACTCTTTCATTATGAGCAGAAAATCTATTAGCAGCCACTCTAAAATTGTGCAGTTCTCATGAAAAACTCACTTATTCGAAATCTTGACTGTCTTTTATTGATTTCTTCTTATTTGGACTTAAGAAAGTCAAGAAAATGAAAGTTTTTGAACAGAAGGTTGCTCTCTGGTTCTTGGCGCAGTGGACACCCAGCTGCGCAGGTTCATGTCGTGTTCCTTGATTTACACACCTAATTAAATTTTGCGAGTTGTTCGGACCACTTTTTGTCAATAGGCGATTAAATAATTCCTCCATTTTTCCAACTTAAGACACTGTTCTACCACAATTACTTCTTACATTTCCGTTGGTTGCAGTTTACAGTTTTAAAATAAGCAGTGGCGGCCATTTTGTGATAATGTTTTCTGTTATCTATGGGGCTTGTAATAGCGAAAATTTTAAAGGCGACTGTGAGTCGCCAACAGTTTCCGCTTTGAGACTCCTAGACATGGATTCGTGCAGAGATTTTGTCTCGTTTTTTTCACATTTTCTAAACATTGACATGTGAAACTGTTGCCGAAAGAGGGCGAAGCAAATATGAAATCGGCAAGCACTCGAATCCAAGCAACACTGAAGACGTTGTTTAGTTTGTTTGTACTGAGGGTGTGAGATTCATCAGCTAATTCTGTCTAAATGGATGTGATTTTAAACCAGTTCCCACCATGCCTGCCTGCTGTTAATCGCTACATAAATCAATTTTCACTGACGGATGTTTCAGTTTAATTTGTGTTAATTTTTCTGATGTTGGCTTTTGTTGAGTGCTTTTTGGGTGCGAAGGAATGTTTGTGGAGAGTGTTTGTTGGCAGGTATTTCGTTCATCTCTCTCTAACGTCCTTTAACGGCGATCAAACGTTGATTTTAAAGCAATCATATTAAAAGCTCTAATTAACTAGGAAGTCACAATGTTTGCTATTGCTGAAAGTCGATGTTTTTCTCTTCAAAATGAATGCAAAGGACACTAAGAGTCCAACAAGTCATTCTTGAACAACATGCAGTATTCATTACGCAAACCGTGACCCACGAAAGAGAGAAGTAGAACTATTTTTTTTAATGACCATAGAGAAAAATATTTCCTTTACCAAAAGCGCCTTTGATGGGAACTACTTCCTCAGTTTAACCTTCAAACTTTTGGCTTGTCAGAGAATAACAAATTACTCTGAGAAGGGTCACGAGTGATTAATGTCCTGAAGAAAGGAGAAACCGTCACCTCTCTTGTTCTTGGTGATAACTCTTTACACGAGCGATCTCTTTAGTTGAACAGTTGCATGGCGTTTAAACGAGTGTCTAACAGTTTTCTTATTTGGAGATCAAAACTCCATCTTTAATCCACTGAATTTCTTAACATATTTAAGCGATGAAAAGGTTGGCTTTTGTTTACATTTGGTTGTTGTTCTAGGGCTTTTCGTGGGGCTAATTGAATCGAGTCAAAGACCATAAATCAAATTCTTCGCCATGATAAATTGTAGTGAAGTTGTCATAGTTAAGATTTTGAATAATTGGTGCCAATTGCCGGATCCAGTTGATCTACTACCTTGATGGTTTCAAATTTTTGCAACCATGTAATATTATAGCTGTGTTTTGGATCGGACTGAAATAAATTTTCTTTTGAAATTCAATTAGGTTTGGTTTCAGAATAGGAGAGCTAAACTGCGAAGGGAAGAAAAAACCAAGGCAAGACCTGGCAGAAGGGAGAAAAGTGAGGTTGAAAAAACAGCTGTAGCTTTGAAAATCCTCGAAGTTTTCGACAGGGACTTAACTCCAGAGAACAGCTCAGAGGAAACTGATCAGCCCCCAACACCTTCGAGTGTGGATAACAATACCCAGTCATCACCCTCATCATCCTCTTTCAGTATCGAAAGCATTCTCTCGCGGAAAGATCCTCCCACACAACTTGAAAAGCACACCATAGTCTCCCAGAGTAAAAGTTCAAGTTTTCAAATTGCACAGCTCATCGACGCCACCAAAGACTTACAGGATAGATTGAAAGGTAACGCGAACAGGTCAGCTATTCGTTCAGTGGAGCCCGTCAGTGTCAAAGCTACTCTATCAAATACTACTTCAAGTATAACTGTCAGATCTGAAAGAGAAGACTCTACGAAACACGAACGCAACGCTAATATTTCATCTGAAAAGGACACTCTGTTGGCACCATTTTACGTTCCTACTCCAAGACATTGCGCTTCAAGGTTTCAGAGCGTAGCCCCCGGAAAATACACGCACCCCGAGACTTTGCCTCTGAATAACGTAGAGGTGTTTGAGAACTTTCGTAGTTCAAGTATTATGCGACTGAGAACAAGAGCGGAGGAGCATTTGAAGCAACTGCAAGTTTCTTAAGTTGGTTGACGAACTTGAGGAAAAAAAGGAAAAAACAACACGTTCTTCAAACCCTCGACGCCACATAATTTAATGTAATTGACGTGTGACACTACGGTCATGAACCAGCTTCCATTCGTTCCGCGTATAAGTTGTTCTTTTTTCTTACAAGTATGAGCGCTATTTAAAAATAAAAATATATTTTCCTCTCGAGAAAGTGTGTACCTCTTTATGAATTCTTGTAACAAACTGCGGATAAGTGTAACAGTTTAGTGTGGATTACCCAACCCAAAGAATTCCCTTATTATAAATAGCAGGTCTCTTGTGTCATTTTGTTCTACTTTATGTCAGTATAATCCATACCGAAATGATCCTATTGACCGTTTAGGATTGATATATAATCAAGTTGTTTATTTTAATCGAATTGTGCCTCGTACCGTTTGTTCATTTTCTCCTCAGCTCGTATCTCACCTACACAGATGGAATTTTCCTGACATTTGATAACTGCTAGTGATAAATTATCTTTTTTCGTGACTTAGAACTTGTCAATAACTGTCTCGTTAGGGACTGCTAAATACTGATAGATGATAACACATTGTTAGGATGCTAAACTTGTAGTGTCAGATCTTCTGTTTTACCTCAAACGCGATAACTCTCATTTCGTAAAGAAAGTGAAGAAGCAAATGTCAGAGGACTTTGTTTACATTTAACAAACTAGAAACAATGTCTAAAGCGTTTTGAGATTTTCAAGAAGTCGGGTGTAAAAATCACCTTTGATCTGTTGCTTTTCAGTTATTTATTTTCATTATGCTGATTATCTCAGCTAATCAGGAAAGAGTTTCACTCCTCAAAGTGTTTCCTTTGTAACTTAAAGCAAATAGCGATCTTTTCATACAACGTAATTCGTGCATTGCACGCAAGGGAAAACGTATTTATATAGAGCTGAGATATTTCTCGGTATTTATTAAAAATATGTTGAAAGATATTGAAAGATTCGTTACGCAAACCACAACGATATTTTTTTATCGTATAGAATAAGATACCTCTTTTTTAGATGCATATAACATACCGCATTGAATTGAATAAGTTCTCAGAAAACCGCAAATCTAGTCTTTTATTCACCGAGAGAAAAAAGGTCATAATACACCTTATTCCCTCAATAGCCTGCTTCGATGATATATCTTGGCTTGCTTCCAGATCCTTAGATTAACAGATTTACAAGTCGCGATTAGTCTCCTAAACGGACTTCAGGTGAAGTAAATTAATATTACGAGTGATGCAAGAGATACATAACGTTTCCAAACCATCTAAAACCATTAAGTAATAGTAATAGTAATAGGGAAACTCTGAACCAGGAATCTTTAACAAAGGGATATTCTTCTGTAAATTGGGTTAGATCGTGGCTTTTTTGCATGCCACACCTCAACTCTTGCCAAAGTAAAGATCCCGCGGCTATCATCAGTTTGAAACACCCACAATGTGTTCTGTTGTTTCCTTCCCCTATTAACCACGACTAATTTGACAGTTGAAGAAGTCCAAGCATTTACGGAACGCTAGATTTGCTTTAAGTGGTTAGGTCGATGAATTGGATCGATCCTCAATCTACTTGGGTAATAAAAAGTGTTGAGCTCGAAAAACTGAATACGCTGCTGAATTTTACATTCGTTTGAAAAAATTGTGCAAAGGAGAAAACGTGTTCCTAGAATCGACAATTTGCTCAAAACGAAAACGATGTGTGGGTCTTGTCTACTTGCATTTCGCTCAATTGATTTTAAGTCCACATCCAAAAAAAAACTCAATACAGGAAATCCTCGTCTACGCTACCAATATCGGGCGAAACAGATGTTCATAAGCCGTTTGCAATTGAAACACTAACAATGTGTGTCGGAGACAGAAACCACTAACATCAGTCTCTCATTATTCACCTTCAATGGGTTCTCGGTTGGAATATTTACCGGGTAAGTGAAAAGCCGAAGTGAACAGTGATGAAAACTTGGTGAGAACGATCCACAGCCGGCGATCAACGGTTTTTTCGAAGGGACAGAAGGTTTGTGCAGATTATTTCGTCCAAAGAATATTTATGGAAAAAACAGAACAAATCAAAACAAAAAATAAATAAATAATAAAAAAAATATATAGCTCATTGCTGTAACTCGCAAACTCTCCTTCCCTTCGACCTCAACTTTTTTTATGATCCATAATTTCCAATAGAAAATTTGATGCATTAATGTACATTTACACTGATGTCATTTTAAACTAGTTCAAAGACTGCCTAGACTTTGTTGATAGAACTAACTACAAACATCGAGTTGGTATTCACAGAAAGTATATCTGTCCGGAAGTCAGACGGATAGCTTAGTAAATATTTTCAAACACGGCTCAATGAGAATCCAAAGGGCGCAGAAGATGGCGTTAATGTTTAGAAAAGAGACTTGCTACTTCCGATGTTTAGTAAATGTTGTGTCTTGAGAAAATTTTTGTTTGGATTTATACTGTTCCATGTGATAAAAAAATAATCTAACATCTTGAGTTCATTGACTTATGACCCTTTCAGAGGAAATTTGACAAACCCATCGCTTTCTATTCGGCCACCTTTCTAGAACTTCAAACGCTACCTCCGAGAGCGGGTCATATATCATTTAATTCACGCGTGATTTTTCCTATTTTGACTAAATTTTACAGACAACGTGATACTTTTATCTTAGAATTGCCCCTTGCTTTCCCTGGGCCAGAAATCTGTCCTTGATTTGTGAATATCCCATCTTCCTTGGCTATTTTTTTATATTACTTCTCTCTATCACCCCACCCCCCTTCGGCTATTTCCTACTCTCCTCTCTCCTCCCCCCTAACAAAGAATGTTCTAGGATTATTTCACCTGGAAGTCAAATCAACAAACAAGTGGAAAAAATAAGTGTGGTTTGATAGGCGGTGAACGCTGATCCAAATTTTGTTTGGTGCTGGCGCGCGTCCGATAGGTTTTTGATCCGGACGTAGGGCAAAACTTGCGGACAAGAACCACGAACAGTTAAACTAAACTGATCATGAATAAAAGTATGATTATGCGACCGTCTCGGCTAGCTCACACGCTTTTTGATCAACGTCGCAGAATTAACTGTCGCTGTTATGAGTTTTGAAGAAACCATTTCCTTGTATTGTTGGTCGCTTGAAGAAATAACCTTCTATAGATACATTCTCAACAAAAACTGACAAGTTGAAATAATTACTTGAATAGCCAACTGTCTCTACTATTAAGCCAAACATTGTTTTTCCTTTATTTGCAAACGCTCTGATGCACGTTTAAGTCGGGACAAGAAATAAACTATAGTTATTGAGACTCCCTTCCTTCGATATGAAAAACTTAACTGGGGAAAATCGAAATGATAGTAAGATTTATTGCATATGGCAATAAAACGCCCATACAGCTAATACAGCGAACGCATGAGTCATTCGGAAAAAATCTAACTAAAATGATAGCAAGTGTTTCATTGTTAAATGATAAAATTAAACCATATCTTATTTAGAAACTATATGAGTTCAACTTATCCTGGTGTTGGGAAAATGAATGGAAATAATATATCGTCGTAGGTCATTCAATAAAAAACAATATAAGCTTGTAAATAATTTCTTATTTCTAGCAGAGCTAGACCTTAAGGTAATAAGTAATGTAAAGATATAAGAAAACGCATAATGAAAGCATCAATTGCACAAGGAGTGTTAGATATTGTTCTAACATCATGCGGTCAGTTTTTTGTCAAGAAAAGATGAAAATTGTCAATCGCTCCCTCCCGATTCTCAATAATCCTTGGGAGTTATTATGCTCTTTTGTAAGGTTAATGAAGCAGGGAATTCTTTGAGCAAAGTAATGATTAAAAAAAAGCGTTGAATACATGTATAATGAGGGAGAATTATTGAAAGCTTTGGTAGAGCTTTTATCATATTTACTCGAAAATATTTGCATGTGCACAGCTGATCAGCTACAAGCATAGTACTAATGCATTGCTTAAACCGTTTTCTTGAGAAGGACATTGTCGTCATGTTACAATTTGGAAAGTCACTCCTTGTCTCAAGCACGTTCCGTGAGTGATTTGTAATTAAAAATATGATGATTTTAAAATGTCTACTCTAGTTTTATTCATTATCTTTGAATTTAAGCACCTTGTCTTAGCATCATTAGCAATCCTAAATCGACATTACACATTGTTTACTTTGGCAAAGAGGACCTCTAGACACGTGATTGTTTTAACTAAAGGAGGCAGACGATAATAGATCTAAAGCATGATCGTTGAATGAAAAAAGATCCGCTGCAAGTGTTGAATGGCTTCACCTCAATCCAGTTTTTCCTGTCTGAAGATCCATGGCTGTGTGTTTCAATTTTAATCACAACAATCCTGACCAAAGCCAAAAACTAATAGTTTATCATGATTCAAATCAAGGTAATGGCACATCGTGAATATTTCTTGTTAACGTGCATATACTTTTGAAAGATCTGTTAAGTGCACCGAGTTTAACCAGGTAACTGCTGAACAAGCAAGAATCTACTTAGTGAGTGCTTACATATCGATCAACATCATTATAGTTTTTAGAAGTATCTCCCCAGTTATAGTCAAAACGATTTTACCAAAGGTTCTTTCACCAAGCATGTCGAAGAAAGTGCAAAATGTTCACTTACATTCAACAAAATTTATATATATGGCTGCTCTTTAGGGGAAGATACGATAATTTGGCATGTTCAGGAACAGCCGGAATGGGCGCCGAAGTGTTTAAGGACCGCGCCATCTTAAGGGTGTTTACACTTCCTAAAGTCAATTCAAAGGTGTGCTTACTCAAACAGATTATTGTGATAATGGAGAAACTTCGAGCTTTGTTTACGCGAACGGTAAAATGGCAACTGTTACTGTCTGCTCGACGGCTGTTGTGGCAATAATGTGACAGTGCTTCTATTTGTTAAGAATAGACAGATTTTCTGTATTGGATGTGTTGTGGATGAAAAAAAAAAGAGAGAAATCCGAGATGAATTTTAATGACGAAGTTTTTGGTAAATGTATCCTAAATCTATCAGAATGACTAAGACAATCCACGTGAAGAACGCCAAGCGTAGATAGCGCGGGGAGGTATTTACTCTGTCATTTGTTCGCATTAATTACACAAACACTTTTTGTGTATCTGATAGAAAAGATTTTTGTAGTGTCATAACTTGGAAAGTAAAGCGAAAAGTGCAACTTATTCATGATGTTTGTTCTTACTT